CCTGGCAGTGCCATAAAATCACCCAGTCCATGAGCTGAGGGAAGGAGCTGGAGCATCAGTTTGAAAAATCCCCCACTTAGCTGAAAACAACTGCAATTCCTCATTGTAAAGTTTTTGCTATCAGGCTCTCCTTTGCCTGCAGCTGAAAAAGCAGAATAACTTAACCATGGCATTTCTGCAGTTTTCAGAAGTCCCTCCTTGATGCCGTGTTACCTCTTGATTTGCCTCTTCAACTGCAATCATTAAATCATAACCAAACCTTCTGAACTGTACCAAATTCTGCGTTCTTTGCTCAATGAGGCTTCCCCTGACTTTGTTGACCCAAGAAATGCAAGTTCTCCTCTTTCTGCCCAAAGCAACAACCCAAAGACCATATTATTGTGCCACTGTATTGTACCACTTACTTGAGCATCTTCTTCTCTATCCTTTTGTTTTTTAAAGCGAGGAACTTACGTTATTATTAAAAGTCCAACAGAAATGGATATACTCACAAATCTCTTCATTTTTCTTTCAGATGAGAGCAAGAGGCGGCAGAAGGTAAGAACGCAAGGAAATCCCAGAGACCTTCAACTTTTATATCTTGCAGGAGGTGTGGGAAACACTTGACAGAACTTTCCTTCATGACTCGAACAAGTCCATATCTACATGTCGTAAGCCTCCTATCTGAATTTTGGGTTGGCACAGATAACCTGACCCAGATATATTTAAAGCACTCAGTAAGTCTCAGTAAATCAATCACTCTGCAAACGGCCATTATTCACTGGTTTAAACTTCAGTATTGCTGGTTCTGGTTTTTTAAATATTTAACAGGATATTGTCTGGAATTAAATGTCATTGGGAATAACACTGCTATTTATTTATTCACACAAACTGCATTTTGTCTTCTGAAACACAATCCCTCACAGCCTGATTGATAGTCTGCAGAGAAATGCTGGGAAGAAACACCTGTGCCATGGTGGCCTCCATGTCAGCCAACAAACAGAGCCATTCTTCAGCCATTTCTTTAATTGAAAATATTGGGTGGAGCCCTGAGCCACCTGACAGTGAGTGGCATCCCTGGCCATGGCAGGGGGCTGGAAGTGGGGGATCTCTGAGGCCCTTCCAAGCCAAACCTTTGTGGGACTCCGCGATTCCGTTCCATTCTGTGTGCAGGGACTCCTGGCGAGAGGTGCTGCTCATTTTTGGTCAGTTCCCCCCATGGGCAGAGCGCATGGACTGAAGTGAGGGGCAGAGTTGGGAACAGCAGCTGTGCCTCACAGGACAGCCTGGGCCACCTCCTGGGCTCAGCTCGCCAGGGAGTGACACCAAAACCCAGGGGCTCCGTGCTGTGCACAGGGTCACAGACAAAAGGAGCAGGATGGGGATTCCCATCCTGAATTCCCACTGATTTCTGCATTTTGTGAGAATGCCAACGGCCAGGATGTCGCCATGAGAACGTTCTCTGGCGTTCCCAGGAGACTCTGACCTTGCCTGGACTCCTCCTCATCCGCTATCCTGCACCAGCCAGTGCTGGCACCTGGATGAATCACACTCTGCTTTCTGCTGGAAGGTCAATAATCAAGGCTGGTTCCCTCCCAGTAAAAGAACTCGAACTAACAGCAAACACATTTCTGTAATTTCTCTTATCAGAAAAAAAGGAGAAGGAGATTGTACAGAAATATCTGCCAGCAAACAGGCCTCAATGGAAAAAGAAAAAAAAGGAAATTGCACACATTTGCTTTATGCCACCTAAGTCCACATGAGAAAATGTTATCTCAAGTGTAACAATGCTGTGCTGCTAAGCAATATATCAGAAAACACATAAACAGATATAAAATTCTGCTAAACCCAGTTAGACTAGGCTGATGTTGCACTTCTCTTGAAAGCTGGCTCTGTCCCTTCTTCTCAAAAGAATCTTTATTTTTAAGATTACAGGTATGTCAGAAATACTCAGAATAGATTTCGACAGTCAAGTAAGTATTTCACAGCAGGATTCTAAGAGGGTTCAGGCACCACAAGTTAAAAAAAAAGGTTAATTTAACTTTTCCTCAGTGTTTATGCCTTCATGTACTCATTTTGTTTGAAGAACACTTGAGAAGCTGCAGCTCCTGTTTCCCTCAGCACCCAAGTGCTGAGGCACAGGTAAGGGCAGAGCAGCAGGGGAGATCAGCAGTTGTTTACTGCAGGAAAACGACAACAATAGCCATGATCTGCACCTTGCATTGCACTGACTGAACTCTGCTGATCCCATCAGACAAGGACAAAAACTAAAGGTTAATTTCTAAAAAGCATTTGCCTAATTAACGTGATTGGGACACAGCCTGAGCTGGTTGTCTCAGGCAAAGCCTTTGATATAATTCCAATAGGCAAGCCTTGCTTTTTGGAGACTTTTTGCCCACAGTTCATCACACATCTCCCAGGAACACCCCTAAAATCAACAGGTATGTGTTTGAACCCAAGCACCACAGTCCTAGAGGCACCCTCCAATCTGAAGGTGAAGGAAGGAGCTGCCTAAGAAGGGTTTAAACCCCTCTAATTTCACCTTGGCCAGTCCCCAGGCAGAGTGAGGCTTAGCTTACAAAGCTGTGACTCAGGATCCCTCAGTGAACCTTGCCACCTCAAATGTACGGTCCCTTTCTCAAATCAGCCCTTGGTCCATAGTCAGGTGCTACTCTCCTGAAGAGGCTCTGTGAAGATTCAGGGCTCTGTCTGACAAGCAGAATCTTAACATTTTTAACCCAGCAAGATTACCACCCTCTGGTTTGAATGGTGATTTTGGCCAGAGGCACTTCAGGCTGAGCCCTTTGCCACACTGGCACAAAGCATCACTGCAAGTTTACTGGGAATCTCTGCTCTGCTTCTGCTTATAATTTCTTTTCCCTTTAAAAGTGGCTGTTCAATACACTGAGCTTACCATGACCACTTTTCTCTCAGCTCCCTGTATGCCATGAATTCAATCAGGCAGGTATCAAAGCCTCCTCTTATCAGAGCACTTCCCCAGGAACCTCGTCATGCTTCTGTGAACACAGGGCACCTGCCAATAAGGCAAACCCATTTTCAGATTTAACTTTGGGATATTATGTATAAAAAGTAAGAGTACACATCAATTAGCAGCAGAGCTGGCCTGGCCTACCATCCAAATGAAGTTCCCTGTAAGTATACCTATCACTTTCTCATAAAACTCTTAAGGCTGGGCAGCTTTTAAATGGTTTTGAGCTTTTCTTGGCACTGAGTGAACTCTTAGTGATTTCTGACAAAGTGAAATGCCAAAGGGCATTTTCAAAGTGAAAATGCCAAAGGGGTGGGGACTGCAGGGGAGAAAGCTCCCATTTGGCAGGGATGGAGCTCCACATGCTCAAAGTGAAAGAGAGAAGTGCTCTGTTCCAGGGGCGACACACACTCGTGACACGTCCACAGGACAAGATTCTCTCCTTCACCGCTCAGAGGCAAATCAACAGTCTCAGCAAGTCACATAAAGTTAGGGCTCAGCTGTTTGCTGAGAGTGTGACCCGGGAGACTCCAAGTGCAGGATAGTGACACTGAGGTATTTACAGCAGCCTGAAACTGGTGCAGGAAAAATTCCCAAGCATTACTTTTAAATACTCTGAGTCCGACTTGGACCTTTTTCATTAAAATCCTCCTTTGAAGGGGATAAAATCTGGGACTGATTCAGTATTCATAGGATTGTCTTCAAGAAAATAATTGTTCACAATAGTTATCCCAAAAGAATTTTTCACCATAACAATAGGAAATTTCTCCAAAAGGTATCAGCAGTGGTTCGGACAAACCCGAGCAACAGCAAGCTCGTGAGTTGTTGAAACTCTGTGGCTTTACAAAGGGGTAACAAATGTTTGATGTCCCAGTTTTCTGAAGTGCCTGTGCCTCCCTTTAGACTGTAAGTCCTGTATTTGGAGGATGAGATCACTGTGAAGATGCTCAGGTGCCTTTTCTGCTGTGTTCCAGGCACAGAGCTGGAATGTGCACCCATGAATGTGCACCCATATTTCAGCTCTTCACAACAGGTGCACATGGGCATTTCTCAGATCTGCTCCATGTCTGACATCAAAAGCTCGAGGTGAAAAGCTCACTCTTGCAAAGAAAATATTTCAGAGTACATTTTTTCTGATAAGTTATTGAACTGGGGCTGGGCAAGTTTTCAGAACTCCCTTCTTGCCTGGGCAAGGTGCAGTTCTGGGGCTAAGAGCCATTTCTATGCATGTGTTCTGTGAACTCATCAACAAATAATTCTCCTGCATATTTCAATCCTCTTCAGCTGCACCCCACTGCAGAAAGTGCTGAGTCTGTACACACAGTAAACAGGAAGTCAAAATTATTTTAAGACAGCAAATAATTTGATGTCTTGATGATCTTCACATGTTTTGAATTCCAAATGTTCATTTCAGATTGTGATTGCTTCTCTCCTTGGAGTTTTCCTGGCTCCTGCTCTTGCTGACCTTGTAAGTACAGAACTAGACACAGCTACTGACCACTGCCTCAGGAACCACTGGCTTTAGCTCTTACCCCTGAGAAATGTGTTTCTGGAAGTGAAGCTGCTTTTTAAAGTCTGATATTTAGAAGAAAATTGTGTTTTAATTTTTCTACGATAACTAAGAAATTATTTCCATGCTTGATGTATCAAGGAGGAAAAGACAGTTACCATACATGGAATCAGGGAAGTCTGTCCTGAGCTGAGCATAAACACTGAAAATAATGGTGTGGAGAGAAACAAATATTAACATGACTGATCTGACCACAAAATACAGTAGAATACTTTAAGTAATCTGGTGCCAGCAAGATCCTGTGGGGGAAAGAACAGTAAGGAATTCTTTTGATTACTTGGAAAGTAAAGGCTTCCCATCTTCATTCTGAGCCAAGAAATCATCTCCCCTTTAATCTGATCTCCAAGAGCAGTGATTTCTCAAAACACAGCTACTGCAGCTAATGCTTTATGGAGAGAAACACTGCTGGGAATCTGGGAAGCTAAATCCTTACCTCTTTTAATCTTTTCCAAAATTCAGAACATGGACAACGACTTTAATGGGCAGCCCAGTGAAAACTCAATCTACTCTGGGATTAGGGTCAGCACCAACCCAAAGGATGGGTCTGAGGCCTGGAAAACCATCTGGGACTTCGAGGCTGTAAGTAGCTGCCACCATGGCACAAGAAAAATGGCAAAAGAGACAAACGTTTTCTAAAAACCACCAAAGCTTCAACAAAATTTCATTGTATTTTAGAGGAGATGCTTGAAAATGTGCTCCTTCAGCCTTGGGACTGTTTCTGCTGGTGACTGTGTGCTGCATTAGCTTTTCAGCAGCAAATTCCTTCACCTGCCCTCAGCAGGAGAGCACATCATACACGTGGCATTACTGGAGGAGGCAATTTACCTTTTAGCAAAGTCTCTTGTCAGCCCCCATGACACACTTGCCTAAACAATATAATTGAAAGGACCAATATTTTTCTTTCCCTGTGACTATTTGCACTGTAGGAAGCCTTTCTTTTAACCACTGCCTCTCTCTAGCAACGCACTTCTCTTTCCCTGTATATTGTTTGCAACAAAAAGGGGTTTTTGTTTGACTTTAACAGGGCTACGTTGCAACCAAGGTGTTTTCAAAGAACACCTGCATCATTGCTACAACCAGCAAGAGGTTTTGGCTTGGCAAACCTTTTCCTACACCACCTCCAGGAGACAAGGTAGGGTGGTGGTTGAAAGTGGGGCAGGAGATGGTCAGTGAAAAGCACTTGTTCCTACACAGGAGCAGGAGAAAAGGCTCCAAGAACTGAAGAGAACTTTCTCAGCAGGGCTGAGCTGCTCTAAAAGTTCCTTCAAAAGCTGCATTGCCCAGGAACAATGTTAATTACTGTTCAGCCTGGTCTTGGACACTTCCAGGGATGAGGCAGCCACAGCTTCTCTGGGCAACTTGTGCCAGGGCCTTCCCACCCTCACAGGGAGGAATTTCTTCCCAGTATCCCATCTAAGCCTGCCCTCTGGCAGTGGGAAACAATTTCTCTTTGTCCTTTCACTCCAGACCCTTGTAAATAGTCTTGCCCAGTCCTTCCTGTTGGCTCCTTCAGGTACTGGAAGGCCATGATGAGGTCACCTGAAACTTCTCCAGGATGAGCAATCCTAATCATCTCACCCTTTGCTCACAGCAGAGCTGCTCCATCCCTCTGATTGTGCTGGTGCCTCCTCTGGGCTCTCCCCAGCTGCTCCAGGTCCTTCCTGGGCCCCAGCTCTGCAGATGGGTCTCACCTGAGCAGAGGGGCAGAATCCCCCTGGCGCTGCTGCCCATGCTGGGGTCAGCGCAGCACTGGGGGCTCCTGGGCTCTTGGTGCATGTTGGTGGGTCATGTCCAGCCTGTCACCCACCAGGTCCTTCTCAATATGTGTATCACCAGTCCTGAACTCCGGTTTTGGTTTTCCTAAATGCTGTTTTCTGGCTGTTTCTTTGATGCTCAGGTACTTGGGCCTTACCAGCTGCCGCCCAGAGAGAATCGCTTCATTATCTCCAGGAACAGACTCCAGAGCTTGAGCCCGTATGGAAAACGCATCCAAGCCCTGTGCAGAGGAATTCCCTCCTTCCTCGCTTACCCAGCTCCTGGTGAGTCTGCTGCTGACAGCCCTGGAGCTCCAAAATGTGCACAGGTTGACAGGATTAACAAAAGAAGATTCAAGCAAACATGAGCATGTCACTTACTGAGACCCTGTGTTTTCTATGGCTTTTCATACATCCATGTACACACACCTCAGGAAATGCAGGTCTGTCGCTCTCCTGAGTGACCTGGAGCCCAGCCATTCTCAGGAAGGTTCTGGGCTCTAGCTCTTGACATAAATCTGGAATTTTTAGGCAACTAGTTGGAAGCATTTCAGCTACATTTTTACCTTCATATTTTCTCAGTCCAAATCTAATTGTTTTTTTCTTCTTCTTTCAGGATCAAACTTTTTAAGGGGATCAAACTTCTCATCAGGATGAAGCTTCTTGGAGTGAAATATTTCATGATTGAAATTTAATGTTAATGAACTGCCTGTTTATTACTGTGGTTACTCCTGACAAAGTTTGCAGAAGAAAATTCATAGAACTGTGTACCCATTAGTAAGATTTTTCTCCTTGATAATCTTCTCTTGATCATATTTTCAATCACTTATATTTCTTCTGCTCTGTATGGAAGCTGTTGAGTCTCAGTAAAATTTATCATCAACCTACACTGGCCTGTGCTGTGTTTTTACAAACCCTTTGAAAAAGCAGAAGCAATTCCAAAGACAAGTTGCAAAACTAATGTTCTTGCAAAATCCCAATTTTGGCATTTAAACCTCTTCCAGTACAACTTCTCAGGGAGAGTTCACATGCTGCCTTGAGTAATTATTCATCAATACTAGAAGAAAATAGTGCTATACCTACTACAATGCCTGCTGCAATACCGTCCCCAGGAGAGTAAAACACTGTCAGCAAGGTCCAGCTGCTTGCAAAACTCTTTAACTTCATGCACTTAAGAGGAAAAATCTGCCAACAAGTGTAAATTAATAAAGCTGGAAAGGTGCAAATGCCTCAGGGCTGCTTTGACAAGTCCACAGAGGCACAGATGCCTCAGCCCTCACTGCCACATTTGAGTGGGTGCTATGGTGACCCGATAACATACAGTATATTTTGGAAGGTAAAAAGGCTTTCACATATTTTGTCTAATGCAAAGCTTTTTATGTTCTTGTCTAAGCCCTAGGATATCTCCGGTCGTAAGTTTGATGTGAATTTTCAAAAGTAAATAGTACATGTTAGAAAAATACTAGAAACATATTTAATTTTTCACTGCAAATGGATTCCTATTTGATAACTATCAGACTCCAGGAGGTCAAATGGTTCAGAAATACAATCCCCAAGTTTATCAAGTACACCAGGAAATAATTTTCAGGGACAAATGACAGGGAAACAAATGACAAAATAATTTGATTGCACACTCAGCATTTCTACTGTGATTTCTGAAAACATATAAAAGGTGGAGGGTTCACACTGCTCTTTCTACCTGCAGGAGCATCAGCTCTGCAGTCAGGATGCATCTCTCTGTAAGTATGCACGCTTTTCTTCCTTATGAACTGAAGCTTTGATTCAAACCCATTTCTTTACCTCTCAGAAGGGCTCCTGCCTCTCTGGAGCACCAAGGCTTTCTCTGGGGACATTGAGCTCCTCCAGAAGGAGCAGCTCAGCCCCTGGGGTAAAGCAAGGGTGCCTCCCTTTGGGGGCACTGATGCAATCCCGGGTTGAAAGCAAAAACAGGATCCAAGGAGGACCCTTGAACATCAGATTAGGAATAGAAAAGGAGGATTGTCATGACCAGATTTGTCAGCCAGAGCTGCAGTTACATTTTGTATTTGATTTTCATTTCAGATTTGGACTGCAGTCCTTCTAGGACTGGTCCTGACCCCAGCCCTTGCTGATTACGTGAGTACAAATGAACAATTTCCACATGCATGGCTACTCTGCCTCTATTCCCTGCTTCATGAAATCTCGATTCTTTTTCCAACATTTTGAAGGAAAAGATTTGAAGTCTTCTCAAACAGATGAAACTCTAAAGGAACCAAATCACAGGTGTCAGATGCAACAATGATTCATGGAATCCTTGAAAAGAACTCTTACAGCTGCTGCTCAATGCCAATGCTTTGATTCTGGGTCTATTTGAAAATACTGAGGCCATTTCTGGGTCTTGGGGGGGGACAGAACTTTTTCTATTGTAGCAAGGGTTTTTAACAGCAACGGAGACAACACTGACTAATGTTACCATCTAAAAGTGCTCCATTTGGTTTTCCAGTCTCAGCAGACAAATGGAAACCAGCAAATCATCTTTGGTGGCGACTCTCAAATCACTATCACCGGTATCTCACAAGCCGTGAAGCTCAATAGTCAAACAAGAGTGGCAATCATCGAGCAAAAGAGCCAAACTTTATCATGGAAAACCATCTGGAACTACAACAGGGTGAGTGGATGGGAGTGGGATTGTTAAAAAGGTGACCCAGGGATGTGGCTTGATTCTGTATTCTGATCATCTGAAGTAAATGATGTGGGGTAGAAACTCTGTATTTGTTACTGCTTCCATCCCGACTTTGCAACCTCAACAGTTGGAGAAACTGAGTTCTGAATGCTAAATACTTTTATTTTACAGGGTGTCATTGCAACCAAAGTCATGCAGCAGAACACCTGCTACATTTCCATCATGAACAGAACTGACATACCCAGTTTTAATAGGCTGGCCCGACTGGCGGCAGAGAGCAGGGTAAGAATCCAAAGGACTAGCATGTTCCTGACCCTGGAGTTTATTAGCTCATTTCCCCTTCTGCTTCTTCTTCCTGGAGAGGATCAGGTTATGTCTAGTGGCAGGATTTCCCTTCACTCCACAGTAATGTAGATTGGAAATTTCTTGTAGGAATGTTTTGCCAAAAGAAGAAAGGGGCTGCATTATTCCCTCACCCAGCTCCACTTTCTCTGAGGATGTTGAGCTCTGCAGCTTGCTGGGCAAACCATGTGCTTTTGCTACTGCCTTCAAGGCTTGCCAGTGGTCCCACAAACCACAAGGGATTAATGTTGTTCCTAATAGCAGTTGGGAATCAACTTTGAGATATTCCCAGAGCTAGGAATATCTCAAGCAGGAACCAGCTCCTGACACTGAGCTTGCTGAATGCTGGTTTTTTGATGTTTAGAACATGATTGGTGTTCTTGGAAGACCTACCAAGGAGATCACCTTTGTCACCAGTGGATTGGTCAACAACCTCAACTCCTATGGAATAGAAATCTCAGCTATGTGCAGCGGAGTCACCACCTACATGGCTTATGAAGTCCATGGTGAGTGAATTCATGGCAATTCTGAGTGTTACTGACATGGCCCTTTTGCTTCCTGGGGCATGACTCAGGCACGGATGCTGCTCTTCCACTTTGGGCCAGACAGAAACCAAGGGCTTCAGCAGTTGCACAAAGGGTTCGGCACCTCTCTAGATCAAGACTGGAACAGTGCAGGGTCACAACCCCCATAAATGACACAAATTAAAACCTTACAGCGCCTTTCTGGGAAGCTTAATGAGTGTTTTGGCCCACACCTGAGCTGCCCTGTAATACCCAGTCAAGAAGAAGGTTTGTTCTAGGAACCATTGTCCTTCAGGTCAGAGCTTGCTAATGAGTTGACGCAGGCAGCCGCCAAACCCTTGTGCTTCACAACACTAAACCAAGTGGTTTCCTCCCCTGTAACTTTTCCCCTGGGGCAATGATCCCATTCCCCAGGGTTAATGAACTACACCTGGTAGGATTCTCCCAGAATGTCACAGCCCATGTAACTGGGCCCATGGATTGGCAGCAGCCTCACCATGTAATGCCCAGCCGTTGGGACTCTCAGGACAAAGTGCAATAGAGCCCCGATTTCTGCACAGGAAATCCCTAAGGGTGTTGAAGATCAGGTCTTTGTGAGCATTCCTGGCTGAGCCACCGAGCCAGTGCTATTTGGAGAGTCCAAGAGACTCTGTCCCTTGCACAGCTCGAACATTTCCAGAGCAGCAATTCTTCATACCTGTGTGTGCTCTGAGCAACACCACCACCCTCCTGTAGAAGGGCAGCCAAAGTCATTAGAATTAGCTCATGGGGTTTTGTTTTGTGCTTTCTTGTATACCAAGGACTCCAAGCAAATCTGGGATCCTGCATTACCCTCAATGTCTTGAGAGCGGTGGATCTGAGGTACTGCAATAGCAATGGCAACTGGAATGGCATTGGCAATGGCAATTGGAATGGTAATTGGAATGGCAATTTGAATGGCAATGGCAACTGGAATGGCAATTGGAATATCACTGGCAATTGGAATGGCAATTGGAATGGCAATGGACAGGTGAGAAAACCATAGCCCTTACTTGTCATTAAGAAAATGGGGGGGATCCTGAGCTGCAGCCCAAAGCCAACCCTGATGCCCTTCTTGCCTGGCATCTCCTCTTTTGAGAGGTTCCTGCTTGAGGGTGCAGATGCTGAAAGAGAGCAACGGGTGAGCAGTGGTTTCCAACCAAGCCCTTGAGTGTGGATTTCCCCTGGCCAGTGCTCTAGCATGCATCAGCCTCTAAAGGCAAGAGATGACAGCTGTCAGATGCAGCAATGATTCACTGAATCCATGAAAAGAATTCTTACGGCCTCTGCCCACTGCCATAGCCTTGATTCTGGGTCCTTTAGAAAAGACTGAGGGCACTTCTATTGCAGCAGTTCTTCCACTGTAGCAGGGATTTTTCAGAAGCTTTGGGGACATCACTGTGTCCCTTCAAAGATGAAACATCTTCTTTCTTTCCCTTGGCTTTTTAGTCTCAGCAGATTCCAGGCATCATCCTCAACAACACTCAAGGCATCTTCAACAACACTCAGGTCATCATCGGTGGCCACTCCCAAATTGTGACCATCAACAGGCAATGGCGTGTGGCAATCATTGAACAAACGAGCATCAGTGGGTCCTGGAAAACCATCTGGAACTACAACACGGTGAGTGGCAGGGATGGAGCTTGTTTAAATACATTCAAGGATATTGCCTGCTTGTACAACTGGCCCAGAGATGGCAATTGTTCCTTTATTCTGGATGTTTGGAGTCCACAATGCAGGGTAGAAACTCTCAGAATTTATTATGCTTTCCATCCCGACTTTATTGAGTTTAAACTGCGGGAAGATACTGAATTTTGAGCGCTAAATTATTTTCATTTCACAGGGTGTCATTGCAACCAAAATCACGCAACAGAACACCTGCTACATTTCCACCATGAACAGAAATGAGATGCCCCACTTTGATAACCTGGCCCGCCTGGCACAGGAGAGCAGGGTAAGGTTCCAAAGGAGCAGCAGATTCCTGGCCCCGCAGAGCATCGGTCCATTTCTTCATGAGCTCTTTCTTTCTGGACATGAACAGGTTGTCTCCAGTGGTAGAGTTTCCTTTCTCTCAACAGTAATGCTGATTAGGAATTTATTGTAGGAATGCTTTTCCAAAAGAAAGGGACTATATTATTCCCTCACCCAGCTCCACTGTCTCTGAGGATACTGAGCTGTGCAGCTTGCTGGGCAAACCATTGCTCTGAGGAGCCCTTCAAGGGAGTTAATCCTATTGGCAAGCCAGGATCTCAAAGTCCTTCACAGACTTTTCACTACCAATATTCATTGGTCATCTCAGAACTTAGCCTTGTAGCTACTCATGGCCGGACTCCCTTTTGAACTGCATGAGAGAACATCTCCCCATCCCTCATTCATGGGATGAGCCACAACAGGAGCCCTCTGGCCCTGGCTGAGAGAGCAGACGGAACCAAGGGTCTCAGAGGAAAGTGCAAGAAAGCAGGCAATGCCTTAGGCCAGGCAACAAAGCACTCCAGGAGGAAAGGAGAAAGGATGTGAAATGAAGCTCACGGGGGGCTTTCAGAAAGAAGTGTCCCACTCGAGCACCCAGGGTTCTTAGTGAGGGGCCCTAAGTACCACCTGCAAATAGTCTGAGAGAAAGTGTATCTGCCTGGACTTGCTGCTGCCCTCTGTGGTTCCAGGTTAGAATGGGCTGCAGGATGAGACTTCTCCTGCCAGCCTTCCATTTGACAGCCTGGGTGCCCCAGAGGGGCAAGGGCAATGACAGAGCACATGCCTTGGAAGGAGCTCTGGCTCCACAGAGCGGCCACACACCTCTTCTCCACATCAGCAATTTCCTTGTGCTGCCGCTCCCCTCAGGCTACCTGCACTTTGACTGGCTTAGAACTATCTGCCTTTGGAGCCACCTTCAAGGCTTGCCACTGGTCCCAAGGCCCCCCAGGGGATTAAAAGGTGTCCCTAAAAAAAATTTTAGACCCAAACACCCAGTCACGAGGCATCATTCCACAGCTAGGAATAGAACAAACAGGAAGCAGCTCCTGGCATTGAGCTTGCTGAATGCTGGTTTTTGATGTATAGAACCTGATCGGTGGTTTTGGAAGACCTACCAAGAGGATCACCTTTGTCACCAATGGATTGGTCAACAACCTCAACTCCTATGGAGCAGACATCATGGCTATGTGCAGTGGACTCACCACCTACACAGCTTATGAAGTTCACAGTGAGTGCAAGCATGGCAATTCTGAGTGTTACTCACCTGGCCTTATTTTCCCTTGGGGCGTGACTCAGGCACAGATGCTGCTCTTCCACATCAAGACCCAAAGAAACCCCCCCTGCAGAACATCAGCCAAGATCTTAGGCATCAGCTCATGGGGCTTTGTCTTTTCTTTTGCAGCTTTCCAAGGACCCCAGGTGACTCTGGGATCGTGCATTACCCTCGATGTGCTGAGAGTTGTAGAGCTGAAGTACTGCAATAGCAATGGCAACTGGAACAACCAGTGGAACAACCAGTGGAACAACCAGTGGAACAACCAGTGGAATGGCAACTGGAACAACAACTGGACCAACGAGTGGAATGGCAACTGGAACGGCAACTGGAACAACCAGTGGAATGGCAACTGGAACAACAGTTGGAATGGCAACTGGAACGGCATCGGCAACAACAATTGGAACAACCAGTGGAATGGCAATTGGAATGGCAACTGGAATGGCAACTGGAATGGCAATTTCCCGGTGAGAAAACCTTAGGCCTTAGCTTGAATTAAATGGGTGGATCCTGAGCTGCTGCCCAAAGCCAACCCTGATGCCCTTCTTTTCAGGCAGCTCCTCTTTCGAGAGGGCACAGGTGCTGGAAGAGAGCAATGAGAGAGCAGAGCTTTCCATCCAAGCCCTTGAGCTTGGATTTCCTCGGGCCAGTGCTCTAGCAGGAATCAAACTCTAAAAGCAGCAGAAGCCAGCTGCAGATGCAGCAATGATTCACTGAATCCATGAAAAGAATTCTTAGGGCCTCTGCCCACTGCCACCGCTTTGATTCTGGGTCCTTTAGAAAAGACTGAGGGAAGCCATGGGCATTACCTGAGGGCCAGCACTTCTTCCACTGTAGCAAGGATTTTTTTGGAAGCTTTGGTGACATCACTGTCTTCCTTCAAATGCAAAATATCTTTTTTTCCCTTGGCTTTTTAGTCTCAGCAGATTCCCAGCGGCATCTTCAACAACACTCAGGTCATCATCGGTGGCCAGTCCCAAATTGTGACCATCAACAGGCAATGGCGTGTGGCTGTCATTGAGCAAAGGAGCTTCGGTGGGTCCTGGAAAACCATCTGGAACTACAACACGGTGAGTGGCAGGGAGGGGGCTCCTTCACAAGCATCCAAGGAGTCTGGCTGCTGGCACAGCTGGCCCAGGGGTGGCAATGGTTCCTGTATTCTGAACATTTGGAGTCCACAATGTGGCGCAGTGGAACTCAGCATTAATTATGGTTTCCACCTCGATTGGATGCCAACATTAAGAATGGATGAAACTGAACTGTGAGTGCTGAAGACTTTTCTTTTACAGGGTGTCATTGCAACCAAAGTCACACAACAGAACGCCTGCTACATTTCCATCATGAACAGAAGCGAGATGCCCCGCTTTGATAACCTGGCCCTCCTGGCACAAGAGAGCAGGGTAAGGTTCCAAAGGAGCAGCAGATTCCGGGCCCTGGAAATCACTGGGCCATTTCTTCGTGTGCTGCTTCTTTGAGGGCAGGATCAGATTGTGTCTTGTGGCAGAGGTTCCTTTCTCTCAAAAGAAATGCTGATTAGAACTATGTTGTAGGAATGCTTTTCCAAATGAAAGGGGCTGCATTATTCCCTCCCCCACTTACCCAGAGGATGTTGAGCTGTGCAGCTTGCGGGGCAAACTCATTCTTTGTGAAGCCCTTAAAGGCATTCCTTGCGCTGCCATTTCCCCTCAAGTTCCATTCATCTTGACACTCTTAGAATGTACTCGGCCTTTGGAGCTGCCTTCTAGGCTTGATGGTGGTCCCACAGGCCCCACCAGGGGATTAAAAGGCCTCCAAAAAGCAGTTGGGTATCAAAGACCCAGCCCTGAGTCATCATTGCAGAGGAACAGGCCTAGCAGGAGCCACCTCTCTGCCCTGAGCTTGCTGAATGCTGGTTTTTGATGTTTAGAACCTGATTGGTGCTTTTGCAAGACCCAGCAAGAGGATCACCTTTGTCACCAGTGGATTGGTCAGCAACCTCAACTCCTATGGAATAGACATCACGGCTATGTGCAGCGGAGTCACCACCTACATGGCTTACGAAGTTCCCAGTGAGTGCAAGCATGGCAATTCTGAGTGTTACTCACCTGGCCTTATTTTCCCTTGGGGTGTGACTCAGGCACAGATGCTGCTCTTCCACCTCAAAACCCAAAGAAACCCCCCCTGCAGAACATCAGCCAAGATCTTAGGCATCAACTCATGGGGCTTTGTCTTTTCTTTTGCAGCTTTCCAAGGACCCCAGGTGACTCTGGGATCATGCATTACCCTCGATGTGCTGAGAGCTGTAGAGCTGAAGTACTGCAATAGCAATGGCAGTGTCAATTTCCCGGTGAGCAAACCTTAGCCCTTAGCTTTCTTGAACCAAATGGGGGGGAACCTGAGCAGCTGCCCAAAGCCAACCCTGATGCCCTTCATGCCGGGCATCTCCTGACTGAGAGCTTCCTGCTTCAAGGTTCAGATGCCTTTAAAGGGCAATGGGTGAGCAGTGGTTTCCAAGCAAGCCCTCGAGTTTGGATTTCCTCTGGCCAGTGTTTTAGCATGCATCAACTGCTGAAGGCAGTAGATGGCAGCTGTCAAATGCAGCAATGATACACTGAATTAATAGAAAGAATTCCTGTGGCCTCTCCCTACTGACAGAGCCTTGATTCTGGGTCTGTTGGAAAAAACTGAGTGCTGGGCAGGCACTCCAAAGGAAGGCACCACTTCTTGTATTGCAGCAGGGATTTTTCAGAAAATGTGTGGAAATCACTGTCTTCCTTCAAAGGCAAAACTTCTTCTTTCCCATGGCTTTTCAGACTCAGCAGATTCCCAGCGGCATCTTCAACAACACTCAGGTCATCATTGGTGGCCAGTCCCAGATTGTGACCATCAACAGGCAATGGCGTGTGGCCGTCATTGAGCAAAGGAACATCAGCGGGTCCTGGAAAACCATCTGGAACTACAACACGGTGAGTGGCAGGGAGGGGGCTCCTTCACAAGCATCCAAGGAGTCTGGCTGCTGGTACAGCTGGCCCAGGAATGGTGACTATTCCTTTATTCTGAACGTTTGGAGTCCACAGTTTGTGATTCTAACACCCAGTACTTGTTATGATTTCCATGCTGAATTTTTCCCAACATTAAGACTTGGATGAAACTGAATTGTGAGTGCTGAATACTTTTCTTTTACAGGGTGTCATTGCAACCAAAGTCACACAACAGAACGCCTGCTACATTTCCATCATGAACAGAAGCGAGATGCCCCGCTTTGATAACCTGGCCCGCCTGGCACAAGAGAGCAGGGTAAGGTTCCAAAGGAGCAGCAGGTTCCTGGCCCCAGAGATCATTGTGCCATTTCTTCATGTGCTTCTTCTTTCTGGAGAAGATCAAGTAGTCACTAGTGGCAGACTTTCCTTTCACTGAACAGCAGTGCTGATTAGTAATTTATTGTAGGAATAGTTTGCCAAAAGAAAGGGGCAGCATTAATCCCTCCGCACTTACCCAGAGGTTGATGAGCTGTGCAATTTTCTGGGCACATCTGTTCTCTGTAGTGCCCTTCAGGGCTTTTGTTGTGCTGCCCCTTCCCCTCAAGTTCCCTAGACCTTGACTGCTGTAGAACAAGCTCTGCCTTTGAAGCTGCCTTCAAGGCTTGCTAGTGGTCCCACAGGTCCCAAGGGGAGGAAAAAATGTCCCTAAAGGCACTTGGGAATCAAACACAAGTCCAGAGTCCTCCTCCTAGAGCTAGGAACAGGCCTAGCAGGAACCAGGTGCCAGCAATGAGCTTGCTGACTGCTGTCTTTTGATGTATAGAACCTGATTGGCGTTTTTGGAAGACACACCAAGATCACCTTTGTCACCAATGGACTGGTCAACAACCTCTACTCCTATGGAACAGAGATTGCGGCTATGTGCAGCGGAGTCACCACCTACATGGCTACCCAAGTTACCAGTGAGTGCAAGCATGGCAATTCTGAGTGTTACTCACCTGGCCTTATTTTCCCTTGGGGCGTGACTCAGGCACAGATGCTGCTCTTCCACCTCAAAACCCAAAGAAACCCCCCCTGCAGAACATCAGCCAAGGTCTAAGGCATCAGCTCATGGGCCTTTGTCTTTTCTTTTGCAGCTTTCCAAGGACACCAGGTGACTCTGGGATCATGCATTACCCTCGATGAGCTGAGAGTTGTAGAGCTGAAGTACTGCAATAGCAATGGCAACTGGAACAACCAGTGGAACAACCAGTGGAACAACCAGTGGAACAACCAGTGGAACAACCAGTGGAATGGCAACTGGAACAACAACTGGAACAACCAGTGGAATGGCAACTGGAACAACAACTGGAACAACCAGTGGAACAACAACTGGACCAACGAGTGGAATGGCAACTGGAACAACAACTGGAACAACCAGTGGAATGGCAACTGGAACAACCAGTGGAATGGCAACTGGAACAACCAGTGGAATGGCAACGGCAATTGGAATGGCAACTGGAATGGCAACTGGAACGGCAATTTCCCGGTGAGAAACCCTTAGCCCTTAGATTTCTTGAACCAAATTGGGGAATCCTGAGCTGCTGCCCAAAGCCAACCCTGATGCCCTTCTTTTCAGGCAGCTCCTCTTTTGAGAGGGCGCAGATGCTGAAAGAGAAAAATGAGAGAGCAGAGCTTTCCATCCATGCCCCTGAGCCTGGATTTCCTCGGGCCAGTGCTCTAGCAGGAATCAAACTCTAAAAGCAGCAGATGCCAGCTGCAGATGCAGCAATGATTCACTGAATCCATGAGAAGAATTCTTAGGGCCTCTGCCCACTGCCACCGCTTTGATTCTGGGTCCTTTAGAAAAGACTGAGGGAAGCCATGGGCATTACCTGAGGGCCAGCACTTGTTCCATTGTAGCAAGGATTTTTTTGGAAGCTTTGGTGACATCACTGTCTTCCTTCAAATGCAAAATATCTTTTTTTCCCTTGGCTTTTTAGTCTCAGCAGATTCCCAGCGGCATCTTCAACAACACTCAGGTCATCATCGGTGGCCAGTCCCAAATTGTGACCATCAACAGGCAATGGCGTGTGGCTGTCATTGAGCAAAGGAGCTTCAGTGGGTCCTGGAAAACCATCTGGAACTACAACACGGTGAGTGGCAGGGAGGGGGCTCCTTCACAAGCATCCAAGGAGTCTGGCTGCTGGGACAGCTGGCCCAGGGGTGGCGATTGTTCCATCATTCTGAATATTTGGCGTCCACAATGTGGGGCAGTGGAACTCAGCATTAATTATGGTTCCCACCTCGATTTGATGCCAACATTAAGACTTGGATGAAACTGAACTGTGAGTGCTGAATACTTTTCTTTTACAGGGTGTCATTGCAACCAAAGTCACACAACAGAACGCCTGCTACATTTCCATCATGAACAGAAACGAGATGCCCCGCTTTGATAACCTGGCCCACCTGGCACAAGAGAGCAGGGTAAGGTTCCAAAGGAGCAGCAGATTCCGGGCCCTGGAAATCACTGGGCCATTTCTTCATGTGCGGCATCCTTTGGGGCAGGATCAGATTGTGTCTTGTGGCAGAGGTTCCTTTCTCTCAAAAGTAATGCGGATAAGTAATTTATTGTAGGAATGCTTTTCCAAATGAAAGGGGCTGCATTATTCACTCCCCCATTTACCCAGAGGATGCTGAGCTGTGCAGCTTGCAGGGCAAACTTTTTCTTTGTGAAGCCCTTAAAGGCATTCCTTGCGCTGCCATTTCCCCTCAAGTTCCATTCACCTTGACTCACTTAGAATGAGCTCTGCCCTTGGAGCTGCCTTCAAGGCTTGCTGGTGGTCCCACAGGCCCCGCCAGGGAATTAAAAGATGTCCCTAAAGGCACTTGGGAATCAAACACAAGTCCAGAGTTGTCCTCTCCGAGAGCTAGGAACAGCCTAGCAGGAGCCACCTCTCTGCCCTGAGCTTGCTGAATGCTGGTTTTTGATGTTTAGAACCTGATCGGTGCTTTTGGAAGACCCAACAAGAGGATCACCTTTGTCACCAGTGGATTGGTCAGCAACCTCAACTCCTATGGAATAGACATCACGGCTATGTGCAGCGGAGTCACCACCTACATGGCTTACGAAGTTACCAGTGAGTGCAAGCATGGCAATTCTGAGTGTTACTCACCTGGCCTTATTTTCCCTTGGGGCGTGACTCAGGCACAGATGCTGCTCTTCCACCTCAAAACCCAAAGAAACCCCCCCTGCAGAACATCAGCCAAGATCTTAGGCATCTGCTCATGGGCCTTTGACTTTTCTTTTGCAGCTTTCCAAGGACCCCAGGTGACTCTGGGATCATGCATTACCCTCGATGTGCTGAGAGCTGTAGAGCTGAAGTACTGCAATAGCAATGGCAGTGTCAATTTCCCGGTGAGCAAACCTTAGCCCTTAGCTTTCTTGAACCAAATGGGGGGAACCTGAGCAGCTGCCCAAAGCCAACCCTGATGCCCTTCCTGCTGGGCATCTCCTGACTGAGAGCTTCCTGCTTCAAGGTTCAGATGCCTTTAAAGTGCAACGGGTGAGCAGTGGTTTCCAAGCAAGCCCTCGAGTTTGGATTTCCTCTGGCCAGTGTTTTAGCATGCATCAACTGCTGAAGGCAGTAGATGGCAGCTGTCAAATGCAGCAATGATACACTGAATTAATAGAAAGAATTCCTGTGGCCTCTCCCTACTGACAGGGCCTTGATTCTGGGTTCGTTGGAAAACTCTGAGTGCCGGGCAGGCACGCACAAGGGAGGCACCACTTCTTGTATTGCAGCAGGGATTTTTCAGAAAATGTGGGGACATCAGTGTCTTCCTTCAAAGGCAAAACTTCTGCTTTCCCTTGGCTTTTCAGACTCAGCAGATTCCCAGTGGCATCTTCAACAACACTCAGGTCATCATCGGTGGCCACTCCCAGATTGTGACCATCAACAGGCAATGGCGTGTGGCCGTCATTGAGCAAAGGAACATCAGCGGGTCCTGGAAAACCATCTGGAACTACAACACGGTGAGTGGCAGGGAGGGGGCTCCTTCACAAGCATCCAAGGAGTCTGGCTGCTGGTACAGCTGGCCCAGGAATGGTGACTGTTCCTTTATTCTGAACGTTTGGAGTCCACAGTTTGTGATACTAACACCCAGTACCTGTTAGGATTTCCATGCTGAATTTATCCCAACATTAAGACTTGGATGAAACTGAATTGTGAGTGCTGAAGACTTTTCTTTTACAGGGTGTCATTGCAACCAAAGTCACACAACAGAACGCCTGCTACATTTCCATCATGAACAGAAGCGAGATGCCCCGCTTTGATAACCTGGCCCGCCTGGCACAAGAGAGCAGGGTAAGGTTCCAAAGGAGCAGCAGGTTCCTGGCCCCAGAGATCATTGTGCCATTTCTTCATGTGCTTCTTCTTTCTGGGGAAGATCAAATAGTCACTGGTGGCAGACTTTCCTTTCACTGAACAGCAATGCTGATTAGTAATTTATTGTAGGAATGGTTTGCCAAAAGAAAGGGGCAGCATTATTTCTTCCCCACTTACCCAGAGGATGATGAGCTGTGCAATTTTCTGGGCACATCTGTTCTCTGTAGTGCCCCTCAGGGCTTTTGTTGTGCTGCCCCTTCCCCTCAAGTTCCCTAGACCTTGACTGCTGTAGAACAAGCTCTGCCTTTGAAGCTACCTTCAAGGCTTGCTAGTGGTGCCACAGGCCCCCCAGGGGATTAAAAGATGTCCCTAAAGGCACTTGGGAATCAAACACAAGTCCAGAGCCCTCCTCCTAGAGCTAGGAACAGGCCTAGCAGGAACCAGGTGCCAGCAATGAGCTTGCTGACTGCTGTCTTTTGATGTATAGAACCTGATTGGCGTTTTTGGAAGACCCCACAAGAGGATCACCTTTGTCACCAATGGACTGGTCAACAACCTCTACTCCTATGGAACAGAGATTGCGGCTATGTGCAGCGGAGTCACCACCTACATGGCTACCCAAGTTACCAGTGAGTGCAAGCATGGCAATTCTGAGTGTTACTCACCTGGCCTTATTTTCCCTTGGGGCGTGACTCAGGCACAGATGCTGCTCTTCCACCTCAAAACCCAAAGAAACCCCCCCTGCAGAACATCAGCCAAGATCTAAGGCATCTGCTCATGGGCCTTTGTCTTTTCTTTTGCAGCTTTCCAAGGACCCCAGGTGACTCTGGGATCGTGCATTACCCTCGATGTGCTGAGAGTTGTAGAGCTGAAGTACTGCAATAGCAATGGCAACTGGAACAACCAGTGGAACAACCAGTGGAACAACCAGTGGAACAACCAGTGGAATGGCAACTGGAACAACCAGTGGAACAACATTTGGAACGGCAACTGGAACAACCAGTGGAACAACAATTGGAACGGCAACTGGAACAACCAGTGGAATGGCAACTGGAACAACCAGTGGAACGGCAACTGGAACAACCAGTGGAACGGCAACTGGAACAACCAGTGGAACGGCAACTGGAATGGCAATGGCAACTGGAATGGCAACTGGAATGGCAATTTCCCGGTGAGAAACCCTTAGCCCTTTGATTTCTTGAACCAAATGGGGGGATCCTGAGCTGCTGCCCAAAGCCAACCCTGATGCCCTTCGTTTCAGGCAGCTCCTCTTTTGAGAGGGCACAGATGCTGGAAGAGAGCAATGAGAGAGCAGAGCTTTCCATCCAAGCCCTTGAGCCTGGATTTGCTCGGGCCAGTGCTCTAGCAGGAATCAAACTCTAAAAGCAGCAGATGCCAGCTGCAGATGCAGCAATGATTCACTGAATCCATCAGAAGAATTCTTAGGGCCTCTGCCCACTGCCACCGCTTTGATTCTGGGTCCTTTAGAAAAGACTGAGGGAAGCCATGGGCATTACCTGAGGGCCAGCACTTCTTCCACTGTAGCAAGGATTTATTTGGAAGCTTTGGTGACATCACTGTCTTCCTTCAAATGCAAAATATCTTTTTTTCCCTTGGCTATTTAGTCTCAGCAGATTCCCAGCGGCATCTTCAACAACACTCAGGTCATCATCGGTGGCCAGTCCCAGATTGTGACCATCAACAGGCAATGGCGTGTGGCTGTCATTGAGCAAAGGAGCTTCAGTGGGTCCTGGAAAACCATCTGGAACTACAACACGGTGAGTGGCAGGGAGGGGGCTCCTTCACAAGCATCCAAGGAGTCTGGCTGCTGGCTCAGCTGGCCCAGGGGTGGCGATTGCTCCCTCATTCTGAACATTTGGAGTCCACAATGTGGGGCAGTGGAACTCAGCATTAATTATGGTTCCCACCTCGATTTGATGCCAACATTAATACTTGGAAGAAAATGAATTGTGAGTGCTGAAGACTTTTCTTTTACAGGGTGTCATTGCAACCAAAGTCACACAACAGAACGCCTGCTACATTTCCATCATGAACAGAAACGAGATGCCCCGCTTTGATAACCTGGCCCACCTGGCACAAGAGAGCAGGGTAAGGTTCCAAAGGAGCAGCAGGTGCCTGGCCGTGGAAATCACTGGGCCATTTCTTTGTGTGCTGCTTCTTTGAGGGCAGGATCAGGTTGTGTCTTGTGGCAGAGTTTCCTTTCTCTCAAAAGTAATGTGGATAAGTAAGTTGTTGTAGGAATGCTTTTCCAAATGAAAAGGGCAGCATTATTCCCTCCCCCACTTACCCAGAGGATGCTGAGCTGTGCAGCTTGCTGAGCAAGCTCGTTCTTTGTGAAGCCCTTAAAGGCATTTCCTTGCGCTGCCATTTCCCCTCAAGTTCCATTCACCTTGACTCCCTTAGAATGAACTCGGCCTGTGGAGCTGCCTTCTAGGCTTGATGGTGGTCCCACAGGCCTCTCCAGGGGATTAAAAGGCCTCCCAAAAAGCAGTTGGGTATCAAAGACCCAGCCCTGAGTCATCATTGCAGAGGAACAGCCTAGCAGGAGCCACCTCTCTGCCCTGAACTTGCTGAATGCTGGTTTTTGATGTTTAGAACCTGATCGGTGCTTTTGGAAGACCCAACAAGAGGATCACCTTTGTCACCAGTGGATTGGTCAGCAACCTCAACTCCTATGGAATAGACATCACGGCTATGTGCAGCGGAGTCACCACCTACATGGCTTACGAAGTTACCAGTGAGTGCAAGCATGGCAATTCTGAGTGTTACTCACCTGGCCTTATTTTCCCTTGGGGCGTGACTCAGGCACAGATGCTGCTCTTCCACCTCAAAACCCAAAGAAACCCCCCCTGCAGAACATCAGCCAAGATCTTAGGCATCAACTCATGGGGCTTTGTCTTTTCTTTTGCAGCTTTCCAAGGACCCCAGGTGACTCTGGGATCATGCATTACCCTCGATGTGCTGAGAGCTGTAGAGCTGAAGTACTGCAATAGCAATGGCAGTGTCAATTTCCCGGTGAGCAAACCTTAGCCCTTAGCTTTCTTGAACCAAATGGGGGGAACCTGAGCAGCTGCCCAAAGCCAACCCTGATGCCCTTCATGCCGGGCATCTCCTGATTGAGAGCTTCCTGCTTCAAGGTTCAGATGCCTTTAAAGGGCAACGGGTGAGCAGTGGTTTCCAAGCAAGCCCTCAAGTTTGGATTTCCTCTGGCCAGTGCTCTAGCATGCATCAACCACTGAAGGCAGTAGATGGCAGCTTTCAAACGCAGCAATGATGCACTGCATCTATGAAAAGAAAAGAATTCTTGTGGCCTCTGCCCACTGGCAGGCCCTTGATTCTGGGTCCATTGGAAAAATCTGAGTGCTGGGCAGGCACGCAAAAGGGAGGCACCACTTCTTGTAATGCAGCAGGGATTTTTCAGAAAATGTGGGGACATCACTTCTCCCATCAAAGGCAAAACTTCTGCTTTCCCTTGGCTTCTCAGACTCAGCAGATTCCCAGCGGCATCTTCAACAACACTCAGGTCATCATTGGTGGCCACTCCCAGATTGTGACCATCAACAGGCAATGGCGTGTGGCCGTCATTGAGCAAAGGAACATCAGCGGGTCCTGGAAAACCATCTGGAACTACAACACGGTGAGTGGCAGGGAGGGGGCTCCTTCACAAGCATCCAAGGAGTCTGGCTGCTGGTACAGCTGGCCAGGGGTGGCAACTGTTCCTTTATTCTGAACGTTTGGAGTCCACAGTTTGTGATACTAACACCCAGTACCTGTTAGGATTTCCATGCTGAATTTATCCCAACATTAGGACTTGGATGAAACTGAATTGTGAGTGCTGAAGACTTTTCTTTTACAGGGTGTCATTGCAACCAAAGTCACACAACAGAACGCCTGCTACATTTCCATCATGAACAGAAGCGAGATGCCCCGCTTTGATAACCTGGCCCGCCTGGCACAAGAGAGCAGGGTAAGGTTCCAAAGGAGCAGCAGGTTCCTGGCCCCAGAGATCATTGTGCCATTTCTTCATGTGCTTCTTCTTTCTGGGGAAGATCAAGTAGTCACTAGTGGCAGACTTTCCTTTCACTGAACAGCAATGCTGATTCGTAATTTATTGTAGGAATGGTTTGCCAAAAGAAAGGGGCAGCATTATTCCCCCCCCACTTACCCAGAGGATGATGAGCTGTGCAATTTTCTGGGCACATCTGTTCTCTGTAGTGCCCCTCAGGGCTTTTGTTGTGCTGCCCCTTCCCCTCAAGTTCCCTAGACCTTGACTGCTGTAGAACAAGCTCTGCCTTTGAAGCTGCCTTCAAGGCTTGCTAGTGGTGCCACAGGCCCCCCAGGGGATTAAAAGATGTCCCTAAAGGCACTTGGGAATCAAACACAAGTCCAGAGTCCTCCTCCTAGAGCTAGGAACAGGCCTAGCAGGAACCAGGTGCCAGCAATGAGCTTGCTGACTGCTGTCTTTTGATGTATAGAACCTGATTGGCGTTTTTGGAAGACACACCAAGATCACCTTTGTCACCAATGGACTGGTCAACAACCTCTACTCCTATGGAACAGAGATTGCGGCTATGTGCAGCGGAGTCACCACCTACATGGCTACCCAAGTTACCAGTGAGTGCAAGCATGGCAATTCTGAGTGTTACTCACCTGGCCTTATTTTCCCTTGGGGCGTGACTCAGATGCTGCTCTTCCACCTCAAAACCCAAAGAAACCCCCCTTGCAGAACATCAGCCAAGGTCTAAGGCATCAGCTCATGGGGTTTTGTCTTTTCTTTTGCAGCTTTCCAAGGACCCCAGGTGACTCTGGGATCGTGCATTACCCTCGATGTGCTGAGAGTTGTAGAGCTGAAGTACTGCAATAGCAATGGCAACTGGAACAACCAGTGGAACAACCAGTGGAACAACCAGTGGAATGGCAACTGGAACAACAACTGGAACAACCAGTGGAATGGCAACTGGAACAACAACTGGAACAACAACTGGAACAACCAGTGGAATGGCAACTGGAACAACCAGTGGAACAACAATTGGAACGGCAACTGGAACAACCAGTGGAATGGCAACTGGAACAACCAGTGGAACGGCAACTGGAACGGTAACTGGAACAACAATTGGAATGGCAATGGCAATGGCAACTGGAATGGCAACTGGAATGGCAACTGGAATGGAAATTTCCCGGTAAGAAACCCTTAGCCCTTAGATTTCTTGAACCAAATGGGGGGATCCTGAGCTGCTGCCCAAAGCCAACGCTGATGCCTTTATTTTCAGACAGCTCCTCTTTTGAGAGGGCGCAGATGCTGAAAGAGAGCAATGAGAGAGCAGAGCTTTCCATCCAAGCCCTTGAGCCTGGATTTGCTCGGGCCAGTGCTCTAGCAGGAATCAAACTCTAAAAGCAGCAGATGCCAGCTGCAGATGCAGCAATGATTCACTGAATCCATGAGAAGAATTCTTAGGGCCTCTGCCCACTGCCACCGCTTTGATTCTGGGTCCTTTAGAAAAGACTGAGGGAAGCCATGGGCATTACCTGAGGGCCAGCACTTCTTCCATTGCAGCAAGGATTTTCTGGGAAGCTTTGGTGACATCACTGTCTTCCTTCAAAGGCAAAATATCTTTTTTTCCCTTGGCTATTTAGTCTCAGCAGATTCCCAGCGGCATCTTCAACAACACTCAGGTCATCATCGGTGGCCAGTCCCAAATTGTGACCATCAACAGGCAATGGCGTGTGGCTGTCATTGAGCAAAGGAGCTTCAGTGGGTCCTGGAAAACCATCTGGAACTACAACACGGTGAGTGGCAGGGAGGGGGCTCCTTCACAAGCATCTAAGGAGTCTGGCTGCTGGCTCAGCTGGCAGAGGGGTGGCAATGGTTCCTGTATTCTGAATATTTGGAGTCCACAATGTGGGGCAGTGGAACTCAGCTTTAATTATGGTTCCCACCTCGATTTGATGCCAACATTAATACTTGGAAGAAAATGAATTGTGAGTGCTGAAGACTTTTCTTTTACAGGGTGTCATTGCAACCAAAGTCCCGCAACAGAACGCCTGCTACATTTCCATCATGAACAGAAACGAGATGCCCCGCTTTGATAACCTGGCCCACCTGGCACAAGAGAGCAGGGTAAGGTTCCAAAGGAGCAGCAGGTTCCTGGCCCTGGAAATCATTGTGCCATTTCTTCAGGTTCTGCTTCTTTGTGGGCAGGATCTGGTTGGTTGTGCCTTGTGGCAGAATTTCCTTTCTCTCAAAAGAAATGCTGATTAGAACTATGTTGTAGGAATGTTTTTCCAAATGAAAGGGGCTGCATTATTCCCTCCCCCACTTACCCAGAGGATGCTGAGCTGTGCAGCTTGAGGGGCAAACTCATTCTTTGTGAAGCCCTTAAAGGCATTACTTGCGCTGCCATTTCCCCTCAAGTTCCATTCACCTTGACTCCCTTAGAATGAGCTCTGCCCTTGAGGCTGCCTTCAAGGCTTGCTGGTGTTCCCATAGGCCCCTCCAGGGTAGAAGAAGGCCTCCCAAAAAGCAGTTGGGTATCAAAGACCCAGCCCTGAGTCATCATTGCAGAGGAACAGCCTAGCAGGAGCCACCTCTCTGCCCTGAACTTGCTGAATGCTGGTTTTTGATGTTTAGAACCTGATCGGTGCTTTTGGAAGACCCAACAAGAGGATCACCTTTGTCACCAGTGGATTGGTCAGCAACCTCAACTCCTATGGAATAGACATCACGGCTATGTGCAGCGGAGTCACCACCTACATGGCTTACGAAGTTACCAGTGAGTGCAAGCATGGCAAATCTGAGTGTTACTCACCTGGCCTTTTTGTCTCCTGGGGTGTGACTCAGGCACAGATGCTGCTCTTCCACCTCAAAACCCAAAGAAACCCCCCCTGCAGAACATCAGCCATGATCTTAGGCATCAACTCATGGGCCTTTGTCTTTTCTTTTGCAGCTTTCCAAGGACCCCAGGTGACTCTGGGATCATGCATTACCCTTGATGTGCTGAGAGCTGTAGAGCTGAAGTACTGCAATAGCAATGGCAGTGTCAATTTCCCGGTGAGCAAACCTTAGCCCTTAGCTTTCTTGAACCAAATGGGGGGAACCTGAGCAGCTGCCCAAAGCCAACCCTGATGCCCTTCATGCCGGGCATCTCCTGATTGAGAGCTTCCTGCTTCAAGGTTCAGATGCCTTTAAAGGGCAACGGGTGAGCAGTGGTTTCCAAGCAAGCCCTCAAGTTTGGATTTCCTCTGGCCAGTGCTCTAGCATGCATCAACCACTGAAGGCAGTAGATGGCAGCTTTCAAACGCAGCAATGATGCACTGCATCTATGAAAAGAAAAGAATTCTTGTGGCCTCTGCCCACTGGCAGGCCCTTGATTCTGGGTCCATTGGAAAAATCTGAGTGCTGGGCAGGCACGCAAAAGGGAGGCACCACTTCTTGTAATGCAGCAGGGATTTTTCAGAAAATGTGGGGACATCACTTCTCCCATCAAAGGCAAAACTTCTGCTTTCCCTTGGCTTCTCAGACTCAGCAGATTCCCAGCGGCATCTTCAACAACACTCAGGTCATCATTGGTGGCCACTCCCAGATTGTGACCATCAACAGGCAATGGCGTGTGGCCGTCATTGAGCAAAGGAACATCAGCGGGTCCTGGAAAACCATCTGGAACTACAACACGGTGAGTGGCAGGGAGGGGGCTCCTTCACAAGCATCCAAGGAGTCTGGCTGCTGGTACAGCTGGCCAGGGGTGGCAACTGTTCCTTTATTCTGAACGTTTGGAGTCCACAGTTTGTGATACTAACACCCAGTACCTGTTAGGATTTCCATGCTGAATTTATCCCAACATTAGGACTTGGATGAAACTGAATTGTGAGTGCTGAAGACTTTTCTTTTACAGGGTGTCATTGCAACCAAAGTCACACAACAGAACGCCTGCTACATTTCCATCATGAACAGAAGCGAGATGCCCCGCTTTGATAACCTGGCCCGCCTGGCACAAGAGAGCAGGGTAAGGTTCCAAAGGAGCAGCAGGTTCCTGGCCCCAGAGATCATTGTGCCATTTCTTCATGTGCTTCTTCTTTCTGGGGAAGATCAAGTAGTCACTAGTGGCAGACTTTCCTTTCACTGAACAGCAATGCTGATTCGTAATTTATTGTAGGAATGGTTTGCCCAAAGAAAGGGGCAGCATTATTTCTTCCCCACTTACCCAGAGGATGATGAGCTGTGCAATTTTCTGGGCACATCTGTTCTCTGTAGTGCCCCTCAGGGCTTTTGTTGTGCTGCCCCTTCCCCTCAAATTCTCTAGACCTTGACAGCTGTAGAACAAGTTCTGCCTTTGAAGCTGCCTTCAAGGCTTGCTAGTGGTGCCACAGGCCCCCCAGGGGATTAAAAGATGTCCCTAAAGGCACTTGGGAATCAAACACAAGTCCAGAGTCCTCCTCCTAGAGCTAGGAACAGGCCTAGCAGGAACCAGGTGCCAGCAATGAGCTTGCTGACTGCTGTCTTTTGATGTATAGAACCTGATTGGTGTTTTTGGAAGACACACCAAGATCACCTTTGTCACCAATGGACTGGTCAACAACCTCTACTCCTATGGAACAGAGATTGCGGCTATGTGCAGCGGAGTCACCACCTACATGGCTACCCAAGTTACCAGTGAGTGCAAGCATGGCAATTCTGAGTGTTACTCACCTGGCCTTATTTTCCCTTGGGGCGTGACTCAGATGCTGCTCTTCCACCTCAAAACCCAAAGAAACCCCCCCTGCAGAACATCAGCCAAGGTCTAAGGCATCAGCTCATGGGGTTTTGTCTTTTCTTTTGCAGCTTTCCAAGGACCCCAGGTGACTCTGGGATCATGCATTACCCTTGATGTGCTGAGAGTTGTAGAGCTGAAGTACTGCAATAGCAATGGCAACTGGAACAACCAGTGGAACAACCAGTGGAACAACCAGTGGAACAACCAGTGGAATGGCAACTGGAACAACAACTGGAACAACCAGTGGAATGGCAACTGGAACAACAACTGGAACAACCAGTGGAACAACAACTGGACCAACGAGTGGAATGGCAACTGGAACAACAACTGGAACAACCAGTGGAATGGCAACTGGAATAACAACTGGAACAACCAGTGGAACAACCAGTGGAACGGCAACTGGAACAACCAGTGGAATGGCAACTGGAACAACCAGTGGAATGGCAACGGCAATTGGAATGGCAACTGGAATGGCAACTGGAACGGCAATTTCCCGGTGAGAAACCCTTAGCCCTTAGATTTCTTGAACCAAATGGGGGGATCCTGAGCTGCTGCCCAAAGCCAACCCTGATGCCCTTCTTTTCAGGCAGCTCCTCTTTTGAGAGGGCACAGATGCTGGAAGAGAGCAATGAGAGAGCAGAGCTTTCCATCCAAGCCCTTGAGCTTGGATTTCCTCGGGCCAGTGCTCTAGCAGGAATCAAACTCTAAAAGCAGCAGATGCCAGCTGCAGATGCAGCAATGATTCACTGAATCCATGAGAAGAATTCTTAGGGCCTCTGCCCACTGCCACCGCTTTGATTCTGGGTCCTTTAGAAAAGACTGAGGGAAGCCATGGGCATTACCTGAGGGCCAGCACTTGTTCCATTGTAGCAAGGATTTTCTGGGAAGCTTTGGTGACATCACTGTCTTCCTTCAAATGCAAAATATCTTTTTTTCCCTTGGCTATTTAGTCTCAGCAGATTCCCAGCGGCATCTTCAACAACACTCAGGTCATCATCGGTGGCCAGTCCCAGATTGTGACCATCAACAGGCAATGGCGTGTGGCCGTCATTGAGCAAAGGAGCTTCAGTGGGTCCTGGAAAACCATCTGGAACTACAACACGGTGAGTGGCAGGGAGGGGGCTCCTTCACAAGCATCCAAGGAGTCTGGCTGCTGGCTCAGCTGGCAGAGGGGTGGCGATTGTTCCTTCATTCTGAATATTTGGCGTCCACAATGTGGGGCAGTGGAACTCAGCATTAATTATGGTTTCCACCTCGATTGGATGCCAACATTAAGACTTGGATGAAACTGAATTGTGAGTGCTGAATACTTTTCTTTTACAGGGTGTCATTGCAACCAAAGTCCCGCAACAGAACGCCTGCTACATTTCCATCATGAACAGAAACGAGATGCCCCGCTTTGATAACCTGGCCCACCTGGCACAAGAGAGCAGGGTAAGGTTCCAAAGGAGCAGCAGATTCCTGGCCCTGGAAATCACTGGGCCATTTCTTCATGTGCGGCATCCTTTGGGGCAGGATCAGGTTGTGCCTTGTGGCAGAGGTTCCTTTCTCTCAAAAGTAATGTGGATAAGTAATTTGTTGTAGGAGTGCTTTTCCAAATGAAAGGGGCTGCATTATTCCCTCCCCCATTTACCCAGAGGATGCTGAGCTGTGCAGCTTGCGGGGCAAACTCATTCTTTGTGAAGTCCTTAAAGGCATTTCCTTGCGCTGCCATTTCCTTTCAAGTTCCATTCACCTTGACTCTCTTAGAATGAGCTCTGCCCTTGAGGCTGCCTTCAAGGCTTGCTGGTGGTCCCACAGGGCCCGCCAGGGAATTAAAAGATGTCCCTAAAGGCACTTGGGAATCAAACACAAGTCCAGAGTTGTCCTCTCCGAGAGCTAGGAACAGCCTAGCAGGAGTCACCTCTCTGCCCTGAGCTTGCTGAATGCTGGTTTTTGATGTTTAGAACCTGATCGGTGCTTTTGGAAGACCCAACAAGAGGATCACCTTTGTCACCAGTGGATTGGTCAGCAACCTCAACTCCTATGGAATAGACATCACGGCTATGTGCAGCGGAGTCACCACCTACATGGCTTACGAAGTTACCAGTGAGTGCAAGCATAGCAAATCTGACTGTTACTGACCTGGCCTTATTTTCCCTTGGGGCGTGACTCAGGCACAGATGCTGCTCTTCCACCTCAAAACCCAAAGAAACCCCCCCTGCAGAACATCAGCCAAGATCTTAGGCATCAACTCATGGGCCTTTGTCTTTTCTTTTGCAGCTTTCCAAGGACCCCAGGTGACTCTGGGATCATGCATTACCCTCGATGTGCTGAGAGCTGTAGAGCTGAAGTACTGCAATAGCAATGGCAGTGTCAATTTCCCGGTGAGCAAACCTTAGCCCTTAGCTTTCTTGAACCAAATGGGGGGAACCTGAGCAGCTGCCCAAAGCCAACCCTGATGCCCTTCATGCCGGGCATCTCCTGACTGAGAGCTTCCTGCTTCAAGGTTCAGATGCCTTTAAAGGGCAATGAGTGAGCAGTGGTTTCCAAGCAAGCCCTCGAGTTTGGATTTCCTCTGGCCAGTGTTTTAGCATGCATCAACTGCTGAAGGCAGGATATGGCAGCTGTCAAATGCAGCAATGATACACTGAATTAATAGAAAGAATTCCTGTGGCCTCTCCCTACTGACAGGGCCTTGATTCTGAGTCCGTTGGAAAAAACTGAGTGCTGGGCAGGCACTCCAAAGGAAGGCATCACTTCTTGTATTGCAGCAGGGATTTTTCAGAAAATGTGGGGACATCACTGTCTTCCTTCAAAGGCAAAACTTCTGCTTTCCCTTGGCTTCTCAGACTCAGCAGATTCCCAGCGGCATCTTCAACAACACTCAGGTCATCATTGGTGGCCACTCCCAGATTGTGACCATCAACAGGCAATGGCGTGTGGCCGTCATTGAGCAAAGGAACATCAGCGGGTCCTGGAAAACCATCTGGAACTACAACACGGTGAGTGGCAGGGAGGGGGCTCCTTCACAAGCATCCAAGGAGTCTGGCTGCTGGTACAGCTGGTCCAGGGGTGGCAACTGTTCCTTTATTCTGAACGTTTGGAGTCCACAGTTTGTGATACTAACACCCAGTACCTGTTAGGATTTCCATGCTGAATTTTTCCCAACATTAAGACTTGGATGAAACTGAATTGTGAGTGCTGAAGACTTTTCTTTTACAGGGTGTCATTGCAACCAAAGTCACACAACAGAACGCCTGCTACATTTCCATCATGAACAGAAGCGAGATGCCCCGCTTTGATAACCTGGCCCGCCTGGCACAAGAGAGCAGGGTAAGGTTCCAAAGGAGCAGCAGGTTCCTGGCCCCAGAGATCATTGTGCCATTTCTTCATGTGCTTCTTCTTTCTGGGGAAGATCAAATAGTCACTAGTGGCAGACTTTCCTTTCACTGAACAGCAGTGCTGATTCGTAATTTATTGTAGGAATGGTTTGCCAAAAGAAAGGGGCAGCATTATTTCTTCCCCACTTACCCAGAGGATGATGAGCTGTGCAATTTTCTGGGCACATCTGTTCTCTGTAGTGCCCCTCAGGGCTTTTGTTGTGCTGCCCCTTCCCCTCAAGTTCCCTAGACCTTGACTGCTGTAGAACAAGTTCTGCCTTTGAAGCTGCCTTCAAGGCTTGCTAGTGGTGCCACAGGCCCCCCAGGGGATTAAAAGATGTCCCTAAAGGCACTTGGGAATCAAACACAAGTCCAGAGTCCTCCTCCTAGAGCTAGGAACAGGCCTAGCAGGAACCAGGTGCCAGCAATGAGCTTGCTGACTGCTGTCTTTTGATGTATAGAACCTGATTGGCGTTTTTGGAAGACACACCAAGATCACCTTTGTCACCAATGGACTGGTCAACAACCTCTACTCCTATGGAACAGAGATTGCGGCTATGTGCAGCGGAGTCACCACCTACATGGCTACCCAAGTTACCAGTGAGTGCAAGCATGGCAATTCTGAGTGTTACTCACCTGGCCTTATTTTCCCTTGGGGCGTGACTCAGGCACAGATGCTGCTCTTCCACCTCAAAACCCAAAGAAACCCCCCCTGCAGAACATCAGCCAAGGTCTAAGGCATCAGCTCATGGGGTTTTGTCTTTTCTTTTGCAGCTTTCCAAGGACCCCAGGTGACTCTGGGATCATGCATTACCCTCGATGTGCTGAGAGTTGTAGAGCTGAAGTACTGCAATAGCAATGGCAACTGGAACAACCAGTGGAACAACCAGTGGAACAACCAGTGGAACAACCAGTGGAACAACAACTGGAACAACAACTGGAACAACCAGTGGAATGGCAACTGGAACAACAACTGGAACAACCAGTGGAACAACAACTGGACCAACGAGTGGAATGGCAACTGGAACAACAACTGGAACAACCAGTGGAATGGCAACTGGAACAACAACTGGAACAACCAGTGGAACAACCAGTGGAACGGCAACTGGAACAACCAGTGGAATGGCAACTGGAACAACCAGTGGAACGGCAACTGGAATGGCAATGGCAACTGGAATGGCAACTGGAATGGCAATTTCCCGGTGAGAAACCCTTAGCCCTTCGATTTCTTGAACCAAATGGGGGGATCCTGAGCTGCTGCCCAAAGCCAACCCTGATGCCCTTCTTTTTAGGCAGCTCCTCTTTTGAGAGGGCACAGATGCTGGAATAGAGCAATGAGAGAGCAGAGCTTCCCATCCAAGCCCTTGAGCATGGATTTCCTCAGGCCAGTGCTCTTGTAGGAGTCAAACTCTAAAAGCAGTAGAAGCCAGCTGCAGATGCAGCAATGATTCACTGAATCCATGAGAAGAATTCTTAGGGCCTCTGCCCACTGCCACCGCTTTGATTCTGGGTCCTTTAGAAAAGACTGAGGGAAGCCATGGGCATTACCTGAGGGCCAGCACTTCTTCCATTGTAGCAAGGATTTTTTTGGAAGCTTTGGTGACATCACTGTCTTCCTTCAAATGCAAAATATCTTTTTTTCCCTTGGCTATTTAGTCTCAGCAGATTCCCAGCGGCATCTTCAACAACACTCAGGTCATCATCGGTGGCCAGTCCCAGATTGTGACCATCAACAGGCAATGGCGTGTGGCTGTCATTGAGCAAAGGAGCTTCAGTGGGTCCTGGAAAACCATCTGGAACTACAACACGGTGAGTGGCAGGGAGGGGGCTCCTTCACAAGCATCCAAGGAGTCTGGCTGCTGGCTCAGCTGGCCCAGGGGTGGCGATTGCTCCTTCATTCTGAACATTTGGAGTCCACAATGTGGGGCAGTGGAACTCAGCATTAATTATGGTTTCCACCTCGATATGATGCCAACATTAAGACTTGGATGAAACTGAACTGTGAGTGCTGAAGACTTTTCTTTTACAGGGTGTCATTGCAACCAAAGTCCCGCAACAGAACGCCTGCTACATTTCCATCATGAACAGAAACGAGATGCCCCGCTTTGATAACCTGGCCCACCTGGCACAAGAGAGCAGGGTAAGGTTCCAAAGGAGCAGCTGGTTCCTGGCCCTGGAAATCACTGGGCCATTTCTTCATGTGCGGCATCCTTTGGGGCAGGATCAGGTTGTGCCTTGTGGCAGAGGTTCCTTTCTCTCAAAAGTAATGTGGATAAGTAAGTTGTTGTAGGAATGCTTTTCCAAATGAAAGGGGCTGCATTATTCACTCCCCCATTTACCCAGAGGATGCTGAGCTGTGCAGCTTGCGGGGCAAACTCATTCTTTGTGAAGTCCTTAAAGGCATTCCTTGCGCTGCCATTTCCTTTCAAGTTCCATTCACCTTGACTCACTTAGAATGAGCTCTGCCCTTGGAGCTGCCTTCAAGGCTTGCTGGTGGTCCCACAGGGCCCGCCAGGGAATTAAAAGATCTCCCTAAAGGCACTTGGGAATCAAACACAAGTCCAGAGTTGTCCTCCGAGAGCTAGGAACAGGCCTAGCAGGAGCCACCTCTCTGCCCTGAGCTTGCTGAATGCTGGTTTTTGATGTTTAGAACCTGATCGGTGCTTTTGGAAGACCCAACAAGAGGATCACCTTTGTCACCAGTGGATTGGTCAGCAACCTCAACTCCTATGGAATAGACATCACGGCTATGTGCAGCGGAGTCACCACCTACATGGCTTACGAAGTTACCAGTGAGTGCAAGCATAGCAAATCTGACTGTTACTGACCTGGCCTTATTTTCCCTTGGGGCATGACTCAGGCACAGATGCTGCTCTTCCACCTCAAAACCCAAAGAAACCCCCCCTGCAGAACATCAGCCAAGATCTTAGGCATCAACTCATGGGGCTTTGTCTTTTCTTTTGCAGCTTTCCAAGGACCCCAGGTGACTCTGGGATCATGCATTACCCTTGATGTGCTGAGAGCTGTAGAGCTGAAGTACTGCAATAGCAATGGCAGTGTCAATTTCCCGGTGAGCAAACCTTAGCCCTTAGCTTTCTTGAACCAAATGGGGGGGAACCTGAGCAGCTGCCCAAAGCCAACCCTGATGCCCTTCATGCCGGGCATCTCCTGACTGAGAGCTTCCTGCTTCAAGGTTCAGATGCCTTTAAAGGGCAACGAGTGAGCAGTGGTTTCCAACCACAGCCTTGAGCAGGGGTTTCCCCTGGCCAGTGTTTTAGCATGCATCAACCGCTGAAGGCAGTTGATGGCAGCTTTCAAACGCAGAAAAGATTCACTGAATTCATAGGAAGAATTCTTGTGGCCTCTGCCCACTGGCAGGCCCTTGATTCTGGGTCCATTGGGAAACTCTGAGTGCCGGGCAGGCACTCCCAGGGGAGGCACCACTTCTTGTAATGCAGCAGGGATTTTTCAGAAAATGTGGGGACATCAGTGTCTTCCTTCAAAGGCAAAACTTCTGCTTTCCCTTGGCTTCTCAGACTCAGCAGATTCCCAGCGGCATCTTCAACAACACTCAGGTCATCATTGGTGGCCACTCCCAGATTGTGACCATCAACAGGCAATGGCGTGTGGCCGTCATTGAGCAAAGGAACATCAGCGGGTCCTGGAAAACCATCTGGAACTACAACACGGTGAGTGGCAGGGAGGGGGCTCCTTCACAAGCATCCAAGGAGTCTGGCTGCTGGTACAGCTGGCCAGGGGTGGCAACTGTTCCTTTATTCTGAACGTTTGGAGTCCACAGTTTGTGATACTAACACCCAGTACCTGTTAGGATTTCCATGCTGAATTTTTCCCAACATTAAGACTTGGATGAAACTGAATTGTGAGTGCTGAAGACTTTTCTTTTACAGGGTGTCATTGCAACCAAAGTCACACAACAGAACGCCTGCTACATTTCCATCATGAACAGAAGCGAGATGCCCCGCTTTGATAACCTGGCCCGCCTGGCACAAGAGAGCAGGGTAAGGTTCCAAAGGAGCAGCAGGTTCCTGGCCCCAGAGATCATTGTGCCATTTCTTCATGTGCTTCTTCTTTCGGGAGAAGATCAAGTAGTCACTAGTGGCAGACTTTCCTTTCACTGAACAGCAATGCTGATTAGTAATTTATTGTAGGAATGGTTTGCCCAAAGAAAGGGGCAGCATTATTTCTTCCCCACTTACCCAGAGGATGATGAGCTGTGCAATTTTCTGGGCACATCTGTTCTCTGTAGTGCCCTTCAGGGCTTTTGTTGTGCTGCCCCTTCCCCTCAAGTTCTCTAGACCTTGACAGCTGTAGAACAAGCTCAGCCTTTGAAGCTGACTTCAAGGCTTGCTAGTGGTGCCACAGGCTCCCCAGGGGATTAAAAGATGTCCCTAAAGGCACTTGGGAATCAAACACAAGTCCAGAGCCCTCCTCCTAGAGCTAGGAACAGGCCTAGCAGGAACCAGGTGCCAGCAATGAGCTTGCTGACTGCTGTCTTTTGATGTATAGAACCTGATTGGCGTTTTTGGAAGACCCCACAAGAGGATCACCTTTGTCACCAATGGACTGGTCAACAACCTCTACTCCTATGGAACAGAGATTGCGGCTATGTGCAGTGGAGTCACCACCTACATGGCTACCCAAGTTACCAGTGAGTGCAAGCATGGCAATTCTGAGTGCTACTCACCTGGCCTTATTTTCCCTTGGGGCGTGACTCAGGCACAGATGCTGCTCTTCCACCTCAAAACCCAAAGAAACCCCCCCTGCAGAACGTCAGCCAAGGTCTAAGGCATCAGCTCATGGGGTTTTGTCTTTTCTTTTGCAGCTTTCCAAGGACCCCAGGTGACTCTGGGATCATGCATTACCCTCGATGTGCTGAGAGTTGTAGAGCTGAAGTACTGCAATAGCAATGGCAACTGGAACAACCAGTGGAACAACCAGTGGAACAACCAGTGGAATGGCAACTGGAACAACAACTGGAACAACAACTGGAACAACCAGTGGAATGGCAACTGGAACAACCAGTGGAACGGCAACTGGAACAACCAGTGGAACAACCAATGGAATGGCAACTGGAACAACAATTGGAATGGCAATGGCATCTGGAACGACAATTGGAATGGCATTGGCAACAACAACTGGAACAACAATTGGAACAACAATTGGAATGGCAATGGCAACTGGAATGGCAACTGGAACGGCAACTGGAATGGCAACTGGAACGGCAATTTCCCGGTGAGATAACCTTAGCCGTTAGATTTCATGAACCAAATGGGGGGATCCTGAGCTGCTGCCCAAAGCCAACCCTGATGCCCTTCGTTTCAGGCAGCTCCTCTTTTGAGAGGGCGCAGGTGCTGTCAGCGAAAAATGAGAGAGCAGAGCTTTCCATCCAAGCCCTTGAGCCTGGATTTGCTCGGGCCAGTGCTCTAGTAGGAGTCAAACTCTAAAAGCAGCAGAAGCCAGCTGCAGATGCAGCAATGATTCACTGAATCCATGAGAAGAATTCTTAGGGCCTCTGCCCACTGCCACCGCTTTGATTCTGGGTCCTTTAGAAAAGACTGAGGGAAGCCATGGGCATTACCTGAGGGCCAGCACTTCTTCCATTGCAGCAAGGATTTTTTTGGAAGCTTTGGTGACATCACTGTCTTCCTTCAAATGCAAAATATCTTTTTTTCCCTTGGCTATTTAGTCTCAGCAGATTCCCAGCGGCATCTTCAACAACACTCAGGTCATCATCGGTGGCCAGTCCCAAATTGTGACCATCAACAGGCAATGGCGTGTGGCTGTCATTGAGCAAAGGAGCTTCAGTGGGTCCTGGAAAACCATCTGGAACTACAACACGGTGAGTGGCAGGGAGGGGGCTCCTTCACAAGCATCCAAGGAGTCTGGCTGCTGGCTCAGCTGGCCCAGGGGTGGCGATTGCTCCCTCATTCTGAACATTTGGAGTCCACAATGTGGGGCAGTGGAACTCAGCATTAATTATGGTTTCCACCTCGATTGGATGCCAACATTAAGACTTGGATGAAACTGAACTGTGAGTGCTGAAGACTTTTCTTTTACAGGGTGTCATTGCAACCAAAGTCCCGCAACAGAACGCCTGCTACATTTCCATCATGAACAGAAACGAGATGCCCCGCTTTGATAACCTGGCCCACCTGGCACAAGAGAGCAGGGTAAGGTTCCAAAGGAGCAGCAGATTCCGGGCCCTGGAAATCACTGGGCCATTTCTTCGTGTGCGGCATCCTTTGGGGCAGGATCAGATTGTGTCTTGTGGCAGAGGTTCCTTTCTCTCAAAAGTAATGCGGATAAGTAATTTATTGTAGGAATGCTTTTCCAAATGAAAGGGGCTGCATTATTCGCTCCCCCATTTACCCAGAGGATGTTGAGCTGTGCAGCTTGCGGGGCAAACTCATTGTTTGTGAAGCCCTTAAAGGCATTTCCTTGCGCTGCTATTTCCCCTCAAGTTCCATTCACCTTGACTCTCTTAGAATGAGCTCTGCCTTTGGAGCTGCATTCAAGGCTTGATGGTGGTCCCACAGGGCCCTCCAGGGGATTAAAAGATGTCCCTAAATGCACTTGGGAATCAAACACAAGTCCGGAGTCCTCCTCCTAGAGCTAGGAACAGGCCTAGCAGGAGCCACCTCTCTGCCCTGAGCTTGCTGACTGCTGGTTTTTGATGTTTAGAACCTGATCGGTGCTTTTGGAAGACCCAACAAGAGGATCACCTTTGTCACCAGTGGATTGGTCAGCAACCTCAACTCCTATGGAATAGACATCACGGCTATGTGCAGCGGAGTCACCACCTACATGGCTTACGAAGTTACCAGTGAGTGCAAGCATGGCAATTCTGACTGTTACTGACCTGGCCTTATTTTCCCTTGGGGCGTGACTCAGGCACAGATGCTGCTCTTCCACCTCAAAACCCAAAGAAACCCCCCCTGCAGAACATCAGCCAAGATCTTAGGCATCAACTCATGGGGCTTTGTCTTTTCTTTTGCAGCTTTCCAAGGACCCCAGGTGACTCTGGGATCATGCATTACCCTCGATGTGCTGAGAGCTGTAGAGCTGAAGTACTGCAATAGCAATGGCAGTGTCAATTTCCCGGTGAGCAAACCTTAGCCCTTAGCTTTCTTGAACCAAATGGGGGGAACCTGAGCAGCTGCCCAAAGCCAACCCTGATGCCCTTCATGCCGGGCATCTCCTGACTGAGAGCTTCCTGCTTCAAGGTTCAGATGCCTTTAAAGGGCAATGAGTGAGCAGTGGTTTCCAAGCAAGCCCTCGAGTTTGGATTTCCTCTGGCCAGTGTTTTAGCATGCATCAACCACTGAAGGCAGTAGATGGCAGCTGTCAAAGGCAGCAATGATACACTGAATTAATGGAAAGAATTCCTGTGGCCTCTCCCTACTGACAGGGCCTTGATTCTGGGTCCGTTGGAAAATCTGACTGTCGGGCAGGCACTCCCAGGGGAGGCACCACTTCTTGTATTGCAGCAGGGATTTTTAGAAAATGTGGGGACATCAGTGTCTTCCTTCAAAGGCAAAACTTCTGCTTTCCCTTGGCTTCTCAGACTCAGCAGATTCCCAGTGGCATCTTCAACAACACTCAGGTCATCATTGGTGGCCACTCCCAGATTGTGACCATCAACAGGCAATGGCGTGTGGCCGTCATTGAGCAAAGGAACATCAGCGGGTCCTGGAAAACCATCTGGAACTACAACACGGTGAGTGGCAGGGAGGGGGCTCCTTCACAAGCATCCAAGGAGTCTGGCTGCTGGTACAGCTGGCCCAGGAATGGTGACTGTTCCTTTATTCTGAACATTTGGGGTCCACAGTTTGTGATACTAACACCCAGTACTTGTTAGGATTTCCATGCTGAATTTTTCCCAACATTAAGACTTGGATGAAACTGAATTGTGAGTGCTGAAGACTTTTCTTTTACAGGGTGTCATTGCAACCAAAGTCACACAACAGAACGCCTGCTACATTTCCATCATGAACAGAAGCGAGATGCCCCGCTTTGATAACCTGGCCCGCCTGGCACAAGAGAGCAGGGTAAGGTTCCAAAGGAGCAGCAGGTTCCTGGCCCCAGAGATCATTGTGCCATTTCTTCATGTGCTTCTTCTTTCGGGAGAAGATCAAGTAGTCACTAGTGGCAGACTTTCCTTTCACTGAACAGCAATGCTGATTAGTAATTTATTGTAGGAATGGTTTGCCAAAAGAAAGGGGCAGCATTATTTCTTCCCCACTTACCCAGAGGATGATGAGCTGTGCAATTTTCTGGGCACATCTGTTCTCTGTAGTGCCCTTCAGGGCTTTTGTTGTGCTGCCCCTTCCCCTCAAGTTCCCTAGACCTTGACAGCTGTAGAACAAGCTCTGCCTTTGAAGCTGCCTTCAAGGCTTGCTAGTGGTGCCACAGGCCCCCCAGGGGATTAAAAGATGTCCCTAAAGGCACTTGGGAATCAAACACAAGTCCAGAGCCCTCCTCCTAGAGCTAGGAACAGGCCTAGCAGGAACCAGGTGCCAGCAATGAGCTTGCTGACTGCTGTCTTTTGATGTATAGAACCTGATTGGCGTTTTTGGAAGACACACCAAGATCACCTTTGTCACCAATGGACTGGTCAACAACCTCTACTCCTATGGAACAGAGATTGCGGCTATGTGCAGCGGAGTCACCACCTACATGGCTACCCAAGTTACCAGTGAGTGCAAGCATGGCAATTCTGAGTGTTACTCACCTGGCCTTATTTTCCCTTGGGGCGTGACTCAGATGCTGCTCTTCCACCTCAAAACCCAAAGAAACCCCCCCTGCAGAACATCAGCCAAGGTCTAAGGCATCAGCTCATGGGGTTTTGTCTTTTCTTTTGCAGCTTTCCAAGGACCCCAGGTGACTCTGGGATCGTGCATTACCCTCGATGTGCTGAGAGTTGTAGAGCTGAAGTACTGCAATAGCAATGGCAACTGGAACAACCAGTGGAACAACCAGTGGAACAACCAGTGGAACAACCAGTGGAACGGCAACTGGAACAACAACTGGAACAACCAGTGGAATGGCAACTGGAACAACAACTGGAACAACCAGTGGAATGGCAACTGGAACAACCAGTGGAACAACCAGTGGAATGGCAACTGGAACAACAACTGGAACAACCAGTGGAACAACCAATGGAATGGCAACTGGAACAACAACTGGAACAACCAGTGGAATGGCAATGGCATCTGGAACGACAATTGGAATGGCATTGGCAACAACAACTGGAACAACAATTGGAACAACAATTGGAATGGCAATGGCAGCTGGAATGGCATTTGGAATGGCAATGGCAACTGGAATGGCAACTGGAACGGCAACTGGAATGGCAATTTCCCGGTGAGAAAACCTTAGCCCTTAGATTTCTTGAACAAAATAGAGGAATCCTGAGCTGCTGCCCAAAGCCCACCCTGTTGCCCTTCTTGCCGGGCATCTCCTCTTTTAAAAGGGTGCAGATGCTGAAAGAGCACAATGAGAGAGCAGAGCTTTCCATCCAAGCCCTTGAGCATGGATTTCCTCTGGCCAGTGCTCTAGCAGGAATCAAACTCTAAAGGCAAGAGACGAAGCTGTCAGATGCAGCAATGATGCACTGAATCCATGAAAAGAATTCTTTTGGCCTCTGCCTAATGCCACAGCCTTTTTTTTAATTTGTTTTTTATTTTAAATATCTCTTCCTCGTTTGAAAATACATCTCCACTGCCATCCCTCCCTATATCAGAGCACTAATTCTTTTCTTGCAAGGATTTTTTGTAAATATATGTTGTGAGACCTAGCTACTTGCACAGTCTTAAAATATTTCATATGGTTTTCTTGTCTCAGCAGTCAGATAACAACCAACAAATCATCACTGATGGAGGTTCCCACATCTCCATCTCTGGTGGGGACTCTCATATCTCCATCTCTGGTGTCTCACAAAGCATAAGCATCAATAGCCAAACACAGAAGGCAATTATCGAGCAAAAGAGCAACCATTTGTCCTGGAAAACCATCTGGAACTACAACACGGTGAGTGGCACAGAGGGGTCTTGTTCAAAAAGTGTACAATGAGACTGGCTGCTCATACAGCTGGCCCAGTGACTGGGATTGTCGCCTTTATGCTACGCTTCTGAGTCCATGATATTGGGTAGAGACTCTCAGCATTTCCTATTGTTTCAATACAAACTTAATTCAAATGTTAAACAGTTGGAAAAAACTGAATTGTGAGTGCTGAACAATTTTATTTTACAGGGTATCATTGCAACAAAAGTGATGCCAGAGAGAACATGCTACATTTCCACCATGAACAGGAATGAGATGCCTACCTTTGCTGCACTTGTCAGAGTGGCTGCAGAGAGGAGGGTAAGAATGTAATGGAGGAGTCACTTGTAATATTGCTCAGTATTTGAAAGTAAATAGATGTGGAAGCCTGCTATTTTGGAAGCCTTTTAAACCATTAGGTGTTTAGAAGTGATTTCTATCACACTGTTAATTATGCAGTTCAATTTATTTTGAATTACATTTTATTTTAAAAGGTTCAACAATAAGAATAAGCTCTTTAAGGTGAAGATTTCTCATTTTTAATTAATGTTGTAGATATCCTGGGTAATTTTCACAGAGTTTGCAATGAGTTTTTATACTGACCTCTTTTTAATACTCTTATGACCCAAGAATGTAGATGTGTGCTAAGTTACCCTTTATAATCTTCTACTCCTTGCATGGTAAAAAACTTAATTTCTTTGGTTTAGGTGTAGTTGATTAAGAACAAATATCCCAATAAGCTGGAAAATTTAAATTATTTCTCAAAATGTTTGCAAATAACTTCCATGTTAGCATGAGCTCCACCCACTAAATTAACACAAACATTTTAAAAATGGTATCAGCATTTAGCATACTCACCTTTGGTAGGCACTGGCTTCCACTAAAGATTCAGAACTGAGTCCTTAAAAAAATCAAGGCTTTAAAGAACAAGAACAACTAGGGGGCAGAAGAAAACCAGCAGAGTGTCATCAGTAAAGGCAAGCAAAAAGATTCAGCTTTAGCTATGGATCATGGCTTGCCTCAAGGCTTGACTCCCTTAGAACAAGCTCTGCTTTTGCAGCTGCCTTCAAGGCTTACCAGTGGTCCCACAGGGCCCCAGGGGATTAAAAGGTGTTCCTAAAGGCAGTTTGGACTCAGACACCCAGCCCTGAGTCATCATTGCAGTGCTAGGAAGAGGCCTAGAAGGGACCCAGCTCCTGAGAGCTTGCTGAATGCTCATATTTGATGTTTAGAACCTGATTGGCGGTTTTGGAAGACCTACCAAGGAGATCACCTTTGTCACCAATGGATTGGTCAGAAACCTCAGCTCTTACGGAGCAGATGTCTTCTCCATGTGCAGTGGACTCACCACCTACATGACTTATGAAGTTCACGGTGAGTGCAAGCTAAGGAATTTTGTCTCAGAGTGACCTGGCATTTGTTTCCCTTGGGGAATGAACAATGATGCACAATTGCTGCTCTTCCACTTTGAGCTGCACAGAAACCAAGGGCTTCAGCATTTGCATAAAGGGTTTGACATCTCCAAAGCTCAGGACTGAAACAAGGACAGAGTCTCAGCCTCCTTAAATGACCTGATCTATACCACTACTACCCCTTTCTGTGAAGTTTAAGGTGGCTTCAGTTATTGTGTAGGATTTTACACACTGCTATCCTCTGCAAAAATGCCTACACTAAGAGAAAGGGTAGATCTAAGCACTCTCATTTCTGTATTATAGATCCAGTGTTGTTTCATGACTGCAAAGAGATTCTTTGTCTATTCAATGATTTCTTATACAGCAGCTATGGACACCCTAGCTCCCTGCAAGCAAAAAAAATGAGCTCTTACCGATTACCTAAGAATATCTTCCCCCTGAACTAATTGTAATTTTTAAATTTTTTTTTACAGTACCCCAATACAATCAACCATCATGCACTGCACTTAATGTCTTGAGACTTGTGGAGCTGAAGTACTGCCATGGCAATGGACAGCTCGGAAAATCTTACCTTTCTTGAACCAAGATCCAGCCTTCAGAGCTGCTGCCCAAAGCCAACCCTGATACCGTTCTTCCCTGACATCTCTTCTTTCAAGAGTTTTGTTCTTCATGGTTCAGAAGCTGAAACAGATAATTTGTTGACTAGAGCTTTCAATTAAAAACCTTTTGCATAGATGACCTCTGGCTTGTTTCTCATTACTCTACCCTTCAATAATCTTTGAAACTTCCATGGAAATATTTTTATTGTCTCCCTTCTGCCCCATTTGAGCCCTTCAAATGCTCTTTTGATTGCCAGCTCCCAACACAGGACACAGACAAAGAGCTGGGCAAGCCCCAGGGTGTGGATGGTACAAACAAGGCATTCACAGGCAGCACCTTCCCTCCCTGTTTGGGGAAAGATGCCTCACATTAAGAATCTTGATTCGGGTGGCACAAAAGGCAGGAAGAAAGAAGGGCAAAGCAGTGAATTTGCCTTTTTTAGGGGAAGGGGAATCTCTGTGGAACTTACCATGTTGTTCTTATAGAGCCCTCCATTTTCCAGTGCATAGCAAAGACTGGCTCCAGGGCATTGCGTTGAACACCGACATGGATGAAAATGTGCTCCAAAGATTCATACACAGTGTAAACACAACTGTTGATCCCTTGGGACAGTGTTAAGATTCCCACTCATCTCCTCCCGAATGCCTTTAGTTCAGACATGGACATGCAAAAAAAAAAAAGGCAAAAAAAAAAAAAAAGCTTTCTTCCTTAATGCAGTAATGGTACCTACAAAATGAAAGATTTCTTCCATTTTTGCTGCCAGGAACATGTCTCTTTCCTGACAGCAAATTCCAGATTCTCTCTCTGAGATCCTCCCAGTGTTCAGTACTATGAAGTGGACACAAATCAAGCTAGGAATAGGAACAGAGTCATGTTTCTGCTGAGCTAACAAGAGCACTTGACAAAATGTCAATCCCCATCTACTGCTACATAATAAAGCTACAGAATTACTCTTAGCTTATAAAAATGCCAGAAAAATTTGACCCATTATTTGACAGTAAAAACCACTAGTCATCCACTAAAAACCAGGTAAACAGGAGAACCCTGAGCATCAAGTGAAAAGTAAAATTGCAGCATTTCAGTTCAAGTCTGATTAAAAACCAGAAATTTAAACATGTAAAAGGAAGATTCAATCAACTTATGCTGAGATTATATGATCACAATAAACTCTCATGGATGACACATGGCATTTTCTCCATGTACTTTTCATAAATATTTACTTTATCAGAGAGTCAGCAGGTAGTGGGAGAAAAGGTAAAGAGTGAAGCAACACCTCTAAAAACCCACATAATTCTGCATGCTCCCATTTGCACTCAGGTGGGTGAGCCATGCTCTAGATAAAGGCAGCAAGATATAGCCTAGAAAACTGTGGCTCAAGGACAGAATTTGTCATATTCCATAGTTAAAAGAAACCCCTCAAGCTCCAGCTTCAAGGATGAAACCAGAAATAATTTCATCAGTTTTACTCTTGCTAGACAGCAAGGAGCAGAAAAAACACCTGAAAATGTGTGGGCACAGAATGAAACTGGAATTTGAGGAAAGGGTGAAATCTGAAATTTTCTTACCCTTGGGAGGTTTCTGCACAGTGGGACAAGAATTTACTATAGAAACAGAATGCCTTGAGCAGAGCTTTGAAAAGGACACAGAGATAAACCTGTACTGAAAGAAAACAGGGGCTTTTATGCAAAGGCCCATACAGTACCTGCCCTTTTCCCTGGCTACTCTACTGCTGTCACTGGTTACATAAGCAGTGCTGAACAGCAAGGGCCTGAGCTGTGCATTTGCTACACAGACTGCTCGAGCACTCAGAAGCTGATGGAAGATGTGGAGGGTCAGGGTTCCAAGGGTGATGCATTTCTGTAATGGCCAAGTTGCCTTGGATTGGTGGAAACCAGGGACAAAACTGCTTTCCAACTCATGGCTAATGACACTGCAGGGAGGAGGATTGTACAGCTCGGTTTGTCTTGCCTTTCTTGAGGAGGGCTCAATTTACAGAATTTCCAGAGGCTAAAAAAGCACTTTCTTACAAAACATACATAACATAGGAAATAAGACTTTGATGTGTATTTGGTATCTTGGAAACTAAGGACATAACCTGTCTCCAGTGGGCATCCACAAATCAGGCTGATTAGAAGCTATAAATCTTCCCCCTTGGTAGTTTATAATTTTCATTCACTGTATTGACACCTGGAGTAAAGGATGAAGTGGAGGTGAAACATGAAAAGCTGAGTGCTCTGCTCACAGTGCTGGCAGACTGCTGCACCTCCTCAGCACTCACAGAGCTCCAGCAAGGCACCAGGCAGGAAGGAGCACAAGGACAGAGCGTGGCCCAGAGCAGCACAAGTGACAGCTGGGCCTCCCCTTCCCAAACAAAGTAAGATCCCCTGGCTTTTCCAGGAGCAGCTGCAATAATGATCCTTGGCAATGGATGGTGGAGGAGAAGTGTTCAGAGACTTAGATCAGACAGACATTGAGTCCCCAGTCTGGCACTGCAGAGGAAGCTTTAGTGTGCAAACCCACCCTGAGCTGCAGCCAGGGGCACAATCAGCGCATGGGGACTGGCAGAACTGCTGTCAAATACAAAGCACGTGGGGAGTTGGGAAGTGAGCTCCTCTGGGAGTGCTGTTTCCAGAACCTGGAAAAGGCACAGCAAAAAAGCAAATCCAAATTACCACAGGTCTTGGGCCATGGCCCTCTATAACAAATTCAGAGAAAGATTAAAATCTACTTGCTAAATAACAGGGGATATAAAAGGCCCCATGTCACTGCTCCTCCCTCACACACATTTTGCTACCTCTAGTTTCTGGTCCCTTTCTCAAATCAGCCCTTAGTCCATAATCAAGTGCTACTCTCCTGAAGAGGCTCTGTGAAGATTAAGGGCCATGTCTGACAAGAAGAAAGCAGATCCTGAATGAGCTCAGAAAGGAAGGGCAGCAAAAGAACTCAGCAATTCCTATGATTTAGAGCCAACCCCGTGATCTCTAGGGACTCACATAACATTTTTAACACTGCAAGATTATCACCCCCTGGTTTGAACGGTGCTTTTGGCCAGAGGCAATTCAGGCTGAGCCCTTTGCCACACTGGCACAAAGCATCACTGCAACTTTACTGGGAATCTCTGCTCTGCTTCTGCTTATAATTTCTTTTTCCTTTAAAAGTGGCTGTTCAATACACTGAGCTTACCATGACCACTTTTCTCTCAGCTCCCTGTATGCCATGAATTCAATCAGGCAGGTATCAAAGCCTCCTCTTATCAGAGCACTTCCCCAGGAACCTCGTCATGCTTCTGTGAACACAGGGCACCTGCCAATAAGGCAAACCCATTTTCAGATTTAACTTTGGGATATTATGTATAAAAAGTAAGAGTACACATCAATTAGCAGCAGAGCCGACCTGGCCTGCCATCCAAATGAAGTTCCCTGTAAGTATACCTATCATTTCCCATAAAAGGGAAGGAGGTTGAGATGCTGGAGTGTGTCCAGAGAAGAGCGACAAGGCTGGCAGAGGGTCTGGAACACAAGCCCTATGTGGAGGGACCTGGGGGTGTTTAGCCTGGAGAAGAGGAGGCTCAGGGGAGATCTTCTCACTCCCTACAATTCCCTGAAAGGAGAATGCAGCCAGGTGGGGTCGATCTCTGCTCTGAGGTAACTTGCAATAGGACAAGAGGCCTCAGCACCAGGGGAAGGGTAGGCTGGACATTAGGAGGAATTTCCTCACAGAAAGCGTGATGGGCATAGGAATGGGTGCCCACGTAGGTGGTGGAGTCACTGTCCCTGGAGGGGTTTAAGAAAAGACCAGATGTGGCACTCAGTGCTTGACAAGGAGGTGTCAGGTCATTGGTTGGACTCTGTGACCTCAAAGGTCTTTTCCAACCTGGTTGATTCCTTGATTCTTGAAAACTTCACCAGATTTCAGAGGAGATGCTTAAAAACATGCTCCTTCAGCCTTGTAACTCTTTCTGGTACACTGTGTGCTGCATTAGCTTTTCAGCAGGAGAACACATCATACACGTGGCATTACTGGAGGAGGCAATTTACCTTTTAGCAAAGTCTCTTGTCAGCCCCCATGACACATTTGCCTAAACAATATAATTGAAAGGACCAATATTTTTCTTTCCCTGTGACTATTTGCACTGTAGGAAGCCTTTCTTTTAACCACTGCCTCTCTCTAGCAACGCACTTCTCTTTCCCTGTATATTGTTTGCAACAAAAAGGGGTTTTTGTTTGACTTTAACAGGGCTACGTTGCAACCAAGGTGTTTTCAAAGAACACCTGCATCATTGCTACAACCAGCAAGAGGTTTTGGCTTGGCAAACCTTTTCCTACACCACCTCCAGGAGACAAGGTAGGGTGGTGGTTGAAAGCGGGGCAGAAGATGGTCAGTGAAAAGCACTTGTTCCTACACAGGAGCAGGAGAAAAGGCTCCAAGAACTGAAGAGAACTCTCTCAGCAGGGCTGAGCCGCTCTAAAATTTCCTTCAAAAGCTGCATTGCCCAGGAATAACCCCTTCTCCCATACCAAAGAAGTGTGTACAGGTTCAGAATTCCAGTGCTGGCTTTCCTAAATGCTGTTTTCTGGTTTTGTTTCTTTGATGCTCAGGGACCTGGGCCTACCAACTGTCACCCAGAGAGAATCGCTTCATTATCTCCAGGAACAGACTCCAAAGCTTGAGCCCATGGAAAATGCAAGCCCAGCTCCTGGTGAGTCTGCTACTGACAGCCCAGGAGTTCCAAAATAAACAAGTGCTCCCTGTATACGTTTAGAATGATGCAGTTCAGTTTTTAAGTGACTTTTCCTGGTACATTTCCAACACTAAGTTGGAAAAATTTCCACTACAATGTTCTCTTATTTTCTCAGTCTAATCAGCTTTTCTTTTTCTTTCAGGATCAAAGTTCTTATCAGGCTCAAACTTCTTAGAGCAAGATAATTCACACTTGAAAGTTAAGATAAATTAACTGCCTATTACTTTGCTATATCTTCTACATTAACCATTTAAAATCAGGTGAA